ACCTGAAAAATTAACGTATAAGATAATATGTGTTCTTCTTTGTTGCCTTCTTTCGTGCATACACATATGTCTTTTGTCAGTGCAGCCTTGACTGTTTTTTGGTTTGCGTGAGGGCGTAATTGTTTTCTTTTCGTGTACTTTGTGAATGTGACAACTCCTCTTCTAGGACGGTTAACCTGTGGTTATAAATATATATAGGTATACATATATAGATAGTAGTATACCTGGTCTGTGCAAGGATCGAATCATGCGCCTGCCATCCCTGTCATGCCAACTCGGGTCACATACATTCTGCGGCCTGTTCGAACTCATTACTTAGCCAAAACTCTGGGAGTTCACTCTGCCCCTTCTGTAGAGTGAAACTACAGAGCAAATTCATTGTTTGGCAGAGTTTTTCGTTTCCAGTGGCAAAGAGCAGACACACTCCACACTGAAGAGATCCAAAACATGGCCTACAGCATTACCACACTATCAGGCCCACAGCAAACCAACTCCACAAATGGAACCAGGTACCGGAAGAGCGCCTTGGCTTCAACAGGACCAGCGGGACATCCAGAGTCACGCCCACGATGCTGCTACCCTAGACGCCTGTCCCAGCGAACTCGTCAGAGTCCTAGCACTACGATCCCCCCAGCTAAAGGCCCAAGCACCGGCAGTCCCTCCACTGAGAATCTGAGCACGAGAATTCCAGTTGACACTGTCGCCCAGTACCAACACCCCAACAGTTGAAGCGCCGAGCATGCTTGGAATTCCCACGATGGCCGATCCTGTCACTGTGATCCCCACGATGGTCAGTGCAGCCACTCCAGCAAAGTGGCCCAGCAAATCTCAAAGGAGCCGATCAACTCCGCATTGAAGAGATCCACAACAGTTTCCGGGACTGCAGAATCAGGCCCGGAGCAGCAGCACTCCGACAAAGAGGCCCATCATATCCTCAAGGAGCAAACCAATTCCTCCAGAACAAGTCCATCAGAGGTCATCAGATTCAGAACCGGAGCAACACTCAAACAAACCTTGGGGCTTAATTCCCACAATGGCCGAACCCGTCACTGCGATCCCCACGATGATCAGTCCAATCACTAACAGCCCCAGTACAGGGACCCCAACACCTCTGGCCCAACTATTCTTGGCCCCAGTACAGGGAGCCCCAGAACTACAGGCTCGGGCACTTTGTCGCCCAGCACGGTAGGCCCAAGCAAGGCTGTTTCCCACTACAAACAGCCCCAGCACCAAAACATCCACTACCATGTCCCCAATAAGTACTGCAAGGAGCCCCAACACGGGTAGTCCATTCACCGCCGGCCGACCCTCAGAGCAGAAGGGAGCGGACAAGCTCCACCCGAAAGGACTCTTAACAGCACCTGGGGAGCGGATTAGCTCCATCAGTTCTGACCCTAAGAGCGGATCAACTTCACAAACGAAGTTTCAAATCAGTCAAGGGTGCATAGCACACCAAACTGATCCCAGAAGCAGCAAAACTCCACCACAGGAGATCCAGAAACTGGCCATATGCCAGCCCCAAATCCATGAAACTAGGCCTTAGCCCAAACCTCAAGGGTCCATCCATCTGTTTTGAACCAGTTGCAGTGTCAGAGCCCGGACAAGTGATACAAGCCCCAACATAGATTTTTACTGCTCATCCTGGCAGTCCAGGAATCAGCAGGTCAGTTGTTACACTGGTCCACAAAGACACACAAAGATGTGTTGTGAGTATCTTCCATGAGCTCAATCTCAATTTGGTGATCCCAAATCTGCCACCACAACCCAGCACCAGTCTGAGACTGTGCTAATCTGACTGGAACTGCTGCCAATCAGCCACTCTGGCAATTACAGTGTCTTCATCTGATTCCACGGGCAGGATTTTGGTTTTACACTCCAGCCACCTCTGGTGTCTCGCTGATCCACACTTTGAAACCAACAGTTCCAAATCCATTCAAAGCCCAATAGCTGATCCACCTCAATGATTAGCACTAGCATCAATGACAGGGTGGACGCCTCGGCCAACCCCTAAGGCTCTCTGCGACCTCTGGCCAAACTATTTTAGCCCCCCCCCCAGTACAGAGCACTACGGGCCCGAGCTCCTTGTCGGCGAGCACGCTTGGCCCCAACAAAGCTGGCCCCAGCAAAGCTGTTCCCCGTACAGACAAACCATGTCCTCAAGTACTGCCTGGGCTCCTAGCAGTCCATCCACCGCCGGCCCAAGCGCGGTAAATCCCAGCATCAATTTGGTGGTCCCTGATCTGCCACCAACTCTGTACTAATCACCAGATACCATCAGATCTTGACCTCGACAGGAGCAGCCCAGCTTCGAGCAGACCAGTGTCATCCAAGGTGCCACCCTCTTTCCAATCAGCTCTGGGGCAATGAATGCCTCTCAATGAATCATCCAAGGTTGGGTGGTGTCGAGCACCCTCAGGCTAAATTAGAGGTCCCACATTTGGCAAATGACAGTTTGCTGGGAGCCCAAACCACTTGGTACTCCTAGCTCGTAGCTCCGGCCATAGTGTAGACAGGGGTAGACAATAGCCCTGTAGGTGTCCCAGAATGTTATTGCATGCATGCAAGGCTTGCCTACCTAGCTTTATGAGTCTGGCTATAATCTGTCGTGCGTTGCCGCCAGCATTATAGCTGCAGCCTGTCGTGCCGACACCAACACTGTGAACACAACTCAAAACTATCACGACGCAACAAAAATCTGTTGCATTGTTGATATCCCAACAAGATCAAGCCGTTCCAGCAATCAAACCTACTCTTTGTTACTCTCTCTAACTTCCCTTCATCCCTTGACGATGAAAAGCTGCAGTGACGATGACTGCGGGCGCTCTCTCCAGCGAGACCGAAGTTTCAGTGATAGCAGCGTCAGCAGAAGTCCTACCAAGTGGCGATATCACGAGAAGCTTATGGATGGCGGGCGGGAAGTAGGTCAAGTGGGCCCAGCCTGGGCTGACAATGGTGCAGCCGCTTCCAATGGGCTTCTAAAGTCCCGTAATTCCAGCGTTGGTTTTATCTGAATGACTAAATTAATAATGACCCAGTACTCAAAACACGTAGAAATCCGCGTAGAAATTACAACAATAATAAAAGAAAACAATAAAAAGATCGACCATGACGAACGGCACGACCAATTACACCATGGAAAACACACCGATACACTTTACAACAAGAAAATCACTACTATCAACACTTATGAACCTAATGGAATACTGGAGCTGATGCTCCCAAGCCCCCAATCCAAAAAACCGACCAAAATGACCCTTCTACCATCCAATACCCATAGTGGCAACAGCCTGAGGTCAACAGAAATCCCCACAACGGAACTTCTTCCATTGATTCTTTCCATGCACTCTCAAATGTGGCAACAACCTGAGTTGAGCAGAAATTCCCACATCGGAGTCTTCATGGGAAAGCAATCGGACAAGACATTGGACCAGAACGGAAGTCAACTACTTCATCATCAACATTAATACCTTGAGCAAATCGACATCCCCTCCATTCAGCATTCACTGTGGCAACAACTGAGTGATGCAGAAATCCCCACAACAGCGCGCTGGATTGAGAATAAATGTCAACCACTTCAGAACCACTGCTTCGGGCAGCAATACTACGATTATCTTCGGTGCAACGGCAGCACCTCAACATTTTGGATTATTATGCACACTTCCCTTGATTGAGCGATGACCCAGGGCGCAGGATGTAATGCAACGATCGGGGCAAGAACCTGCTACCATTTTCTATTTCCTTTCTCTGGATTTATTTTTTATTTTTGTACAGTCCTCATGCTACACATGAGAAACCTTCTACTTGACAGGCGGCATGGCCGCCTGTCTTTCCTATTGAAGTAAAAGCATGCCTTCGGCGCAGTAGAACATAATTCTACTAATCTTTGTGTTAAACTCAAACTCCAATGGGCTTAGTCTTGCGGCCAGTTGCAAAGCCTTCCGCTTATCGGTTGTTGCAAAAAACCTACGAACGGGAGAGCGAGAGCGTTTCCTTGGCCAGGCTGGTCTCATCCGAGGACAACGTCTAGTTTCGTCGCCACCACAGCATCGACATGCCATAGAAGGAGACGATGGCAGACCCATCCCTACAGCTCTCCATTTCTCGCGCTACCAGGCTACTCCAACCACCTGCAAGGTCCTGAAAATGGGACTAGTTTCACGCTTTTGGGTTAGTTTCACGCTTTTTGTTAGTTTCACGCTTTTTGAAAAGGAAACTGTACATTTTCGGTGAAACTAACTAAACAGCGTGAAACTAACCCAAAAAGCGTGAAACTAACCAAAAGAGTGAAACTAAAGTGTATCTGTCATAGTAAATCAACGTAAACAGACTGCGTGATAATCAAGGTGAAACTAACCAAAAGGGTGAAACTAACCAAAAAGCGTGAAACTAACAAAAAAGCGTGAAAACTAACCAAAAAGGGTGAAACTAACAAAAAGCGTGAAACTGGGCCAAAAGCGGAAACAACAAAAAGCGTGAAACTATTGTTTGTCCTGTTTCAGGACCTTGCAGGTTTGATTTTCCACGACAAGCATACGGTCGTCTTTCTTGGTTTCGCCTTGTGGCACTGAGTACGATTTGGTTCGAAAAGGGTGGATGCGAAATAGCAGCAGATGACGCTGTTGTGGTCGTTCCAGACAACGCAGTAGAGTTGGATATTCGTGGAAGTATGGTCATGATGATAAGCGCGCAAGCGATTGTGAACACCGAGTCCCAGTTCACCCAGAAAGACTGGACGTTCGAACAGGTCAGAACTGATTTCCAGTTCCAGGTGGGGCAGGCTATCGGCATTGCCGTGTACCGAGATTTTGATATTGCCGCCGAAGATATCGGACAACCAAAGAATTCTCTTACTACCAAAGAAATCAGTCGTATCTATGGCCAAAAAAACCGAGTAAACGTCTATTGGGAAAATCACATTTATCTCAACCGGATGGAAGTGGTTTGAACACGACGTGAATACATTTTCCGGGTGCTCTGGTGCTGTTGTTTTTCTGCTTGACCTAAACCAAACTGGTAGGGGTGTCTCTGAGGACAACTATGGCAAGGCTATTGCTGTCCAAGCAGGGGGCAAGTACTTGGGAGAGGGAAAGCGAACCAATGTTGCTTTTAGCATCTTGTGAAAATGTTGTTGTTGGGCAGCTTGCTGTTTCACCGCAGGTATACCTGCTCTCTTTTTTGTTGGTTACAGGTAGCAGGTACCTGGTACTGTACGAGTACAGCGTAGCATGGTGCACAGAACACTGACTAAACTGTACTGTACCGTACCGTCCGTAGGCGGAAAGATGCAAAACTTGGAACCGTCGTCTTTTCAGGTCGCTATCACCGGCCACAAAACATGCTGCCATACCCTGCGTTGGTTGCTATGACATCCACCAAACTCAATGCGCCATGAGAAATATGACGCTAACAGTGGAGGGTTCATCCAGTCGCCCAAGGTCTGTCGGAGTCCTTTGGTAAAACCCATTTTAAGCACAGTCTCATACCAGCTACAAAATTTCTATAATCTGTGTTATCCATCTGTCTGGGCAGCACAATCTTAGCTGGAGGGATGTGAAACAGCCATAGATTGTTCATCGCGGCTAACTGAGGTCTAAGCCTGCCGTACCGTTGTCCAGCAAGAGTACAAAATGCAAAACAGAACAAGACCAACCAAAACAGCAATAAGTGATGAACAGTTGAAGAGCAATATGGAAGCAGCGATGATGGCGACCAATGAGACTGCAATTCCCACTCGATTATGCCATCGGTCCCAGTGGCGAATAGTGTTGTTGTCATCACTTTGATGTCGTGGAGTGCGGGGCTCAGCATGTTGCAAAGGCTGTTCCAATTGAGGATTTGGTTGTTCTGGTTCTGTTTCCCACTGTATAGCCACGAAAGATGAAGGTGAGGACATGTCTCTCTTCCAAGCATTGATTTCTCCACACTCATCAGAAATCAGACCTCGCTCAGCCTGTTGCTCCATTTCTTGCACAAGTACAGTCAGCAAGGTGACATTATCATACAGCTGATCAACCCTCAGAGAATTCCGTGTGATAGGGGAGACACCATGTTTCTGTATCCAGCCGACGATTGAGGTTCTCTCAAATGTATTGCCTTCATGGTCAATGACAGGATCCCTAAACAAGTCTCGGGTGATGGGACACAAAAAGACCCCTTTCTCGTTCAAGTGAAGGGAAACTTCCTTTTCAGAGTCTGTGGCTGGGTCCAGAAATTCCATCAATGCACGGTTTGGATAGTACTCAAAGGTGGTATCCCCATCTCGCTCTTCTACTGCTTCTTTCTCATACGAGATGCCATCCTTGGGGTGTACAACTGCACACTTGAAGGGCTTCTTGGTAATAGGACAGAATATTGTTTGTTTTGTGCATACCAATTGAGGGATATATGTTTCCCTGCAGCAGTCCTCGCTTGCCCCATTTTCAATGTCAATGGATATTGCTGCCAACACTTCTGAATTTCCTCCGTCCGGTTTCGTGTCATCTTCTCGCTCCGTTGAATGGTCACTGAAGCTCGTTGACTCGACTACTGTTGTGCTCTCGGACTCTTCGTCCTCTTTCCTCGCTACCTCCTCCATTCTGGATAGAGACTCAATGCGGCGTGCTACTAGCGTCAAGTGTCAAGGCTTGATGGTGGTACGGTACCATGGTATGGGAAATGAGATGGGAGGCCAATGCAGTTTTCAGAGCTTCGGATAATACCGTACTGGTACTATGAAGCCGCTTATGCATGTTTATGGTACGGTATTCAAAGACAATAGGTTTCACAGCACTGTTTAGAGGATCCCGCTACCGGTACATTTGATTGTGTCGGCTCTGCGTATGCTTGATTTGACATTCGGACGTCCAACGGATGCACTTCTCCGGTTGCTCTTCTCCGCACTCCGCACCTCTCCGGTTCCCCTTTGCCGTGCACCTACAGACAACACAGCTTTACTTTACACTTTTCTGTGCACACTGTACTTTACAAACACTTGGCAGTTCTATGGGTACATATAAACTTTACAGAATCCGGTTTTCTATTTCTGTCATACATTAATACTTTACGGTATTGTCTTAAATCTGTAAAATGGACCCCTAAATCTGACCTAACTCTACCTTGTACAGGGACATCACTAATCAGCAACATATATTCACATTAGTTCATTGAAAAATCCTCTTGTAGGATGCCAGTGCACCTGGAAGGGATGATGATGCAAGTGAAGAAGTGGAATGGGAGGAAGATACAGGAGAAGGGCAGGAAGAGGAGGAGGAAAAGTCGAATACCAAGGATGAAGAGGGAATTGACAACGATTAGGTAGGTATCAGCTTTTAGCCTTTAAAAGCATGCGTGTCATTACATGGACTTTCTAGTACACAAGCCACTTTACAAAAGCTGGCAAATTTACTTAGTTATGCACACACTCTTTACAGCCATTGGCTCCGTTAGTAGAGTAAAGGTGTGTTGTCTGTATTTTAGTACCGGTACTAGTACTAGCTAGACTCGACTCGACTCGACTCCGGATCCGAGAGGATCAGACACACCGTCCTTGATCTGTGCTTTGAGTGCAGCCACATCCTTGGCAGTAGGGTTAGAAGAACCCTTGTAGCATGGTTACGAGAACCATGGGTGACTGCACAAACAAGTTTCATTGTTCCCATCCATATGCACTCACTGATTTCATTTAGAACTAGCTAGACTTGCCTTCCACATTTTAGCATACAGCTCTTTCACATCTGCCTTTGCTTTCCACACTTTTCTTCTCACACACGGACACACATTTCTAGCCCGAAGCCCAACAATCAGCCAAGCGCTGCATACTCCCATAGATCCTGCAGAGAAAGTTTGAAGTTTGGAAAGAGATGTGCCCAGACACCCGTAAATCCAAGCTCCGCAGCGGATCTCAATTGTCGCGTCATTCCCAGCAGCACGGTTGTAGTATGTGTGTGTACAACCATAGGTCTGTGCAATGGCATTAGCCACAGTTCGTCCATGGACAACCTTGTACACATCAATTCCAACGGCAACTTTATTGACACCGACTCTTCGGACTTTTACTAAAAAACCCACTCGCGGTCCTGCATTTCCTGTAATCATACCCCCCAGTGGCAGAATTTCATTCATAGCTTCAAACTCATTTCCTGGGGTGTTTCCCCAGCTGAATTGAAAGAAAACATCTTGATCCACCTCAAAATCAGTAGTGTCTGATAGCCTCTGAGGCCTCAGCTTCCCCTTCACGACCTTGTCACATTTCTGGTAGGTCCAAAAGTTGACATTGGGTATACGCTTGGCTTGTTTTCCAGTGGGTATCAATCGGTTGACTTCCTGCACATTTAGATTACTGGCCCTGCCCCAGCGACCAAACCATCCCCTGCAGTACTCATTTAGTTCGTCTCGAATAAGTCAGAGGCCTCGTTGTGCTTGGTATCTGGAATGGTGACATAGCCTTCACTGTCTAACTGGAATTTGTAGTCAGTAAGCCCCAGAGTTTCAAGCGCGTCATGAAGGGTGTCAATGTTGGCAAACTGACGGCCTCGCAATGGCAGCGGAATTTCGTAGTCGTCGTCGTGTTGGCATCCGTTTTCTTCCCCGTCCGCTTCCTCTTCCAACAAAGATTCCTTTCCCTCTTCAGCCACCTCTACCTTCAAGTCTGTCCCTTCGGGCTGCACAGGCAGAATTCCGTCCTCGTTCAACAAAGATTCGTTTTCAGGGCCCACCTCCACCCCCGTCTCTTCAGATCGAGCCAAAGCTTCTCCAACTCCAGGTGGGGTCAGGTTGCTTCCTTTTTCGCCTCCACGTGACTCAAGATCTAAAGCGCTTTCTGTCTGAACTACTCTTTCATTTGCTGTGCCTGTCATGAGACAATCGGGCTGGGAGTGTTTCGTAGTAAGCTTGCTGTGGCTAGTGGCTAAGCGCTGCTGCTGCTGCTGCTGCTGCTGCTGCTGCTGCTGCTGCTGCTGCTGCTGCTGCTGCTGCTGCGGTAAGCGGTACAATCAATCGTACTGAGTTTGTTGTTTGTGGCTGCTGTTGCTTCTTGGACATTGCACGCATGACTGCCCTATCGTGGCTGGTACAAATGTAATATGTGAGAGAGATCTTTAGTATTTTTATATTGTGTGTAATCGGATTGTGAGGGTATCAAAAGGAGTTGCCGTGCTACTAGTTAAAACCATGGAGATAAGCGGGTAGCGAGAGTTGGAGCCCATCATGGAGGAAACATACATGCATGTTTCAGTCATGCGTGTTTCAGTCATAACTGTTTAAGTCGTGCTAGTTGCAAGATACTATACATGCAACAGTTTCCAAGCAGGCGGGCGTCTAGCCGTGGGAGAAAAATTCACTACAGTCACAGAAGATAATGCAGATACATCACTACAAGATCTGTACCCTGACCACTTTGCAGCTTTGAAACATGCCAACCTTCGCAATCAACAAGCACACAATGCCAAAGATTCCCACCCTTCGAGAAGCAAACCACACCTTCAAACCCAAATCTCCAACAAACCGACAACTCCAATAACAGAAACGAGATGCTAGAAGAACAACATACTTTTGCATTGGCTACTCCAAAGCTTGGACAACTCCCATTTGGAAAGTGATTCAGAACCTCATCCAAAACAAGTATCCAACCCTCAAATGGATTAGATCTGCAATGTCATACCACAGATTCACCAACCTGCGAGAAGTTTTCAATGGAAACCTTTTGACCAAGCTCAATACTGGAATTGTCTCACTTGACTTTACAACCCGCCCATGCAACTGCACCAACCGTTTGACAGTTGGATGTGCCTACAACAACCACTGAAGAAAACCAATTTGTCATCTATGAAGCAACAAGCACTCAACCTCCCAATCCTACATCCAGCCCCAAATCCTACATCGGAGCCACACAAAACTTTCTCAAGCTCAGAATTTCATCACATGTCAGTGAAACAAAACGCCTATGCCAATTCCTATGCGGCAAAAAACACAAACCCAAGAACTCGGACACCTTGCTGACCGCACCTTTGCTTGGCACTTTGCTGCCAAAGCAGTGGCAACAACCACAGGAAACCCCACAGCATCTGACATTCGGAAACTCTACAACCTCATAATACTGTGGCAGGGCAACCCCCTGTCCACAGTCAAAACGTTCGGGAAAAATGACTGCATTCTATGTAATCAAGAACGGCTTCACATCTTCAAAAGTATGAGAAACAAACCTTCTACACTTCTCAACAGAGTGAAGAACTATTTAATACATGCCGTCACAAACCACGGTTCCACCGGTTCACCCATGCAACCCCAGTGAACAGCACTGATGAGCCCTCAATGGGCGAAAAAGTGCCAACCACCATTGATGTTTAACACCAATGCTGTTTGTGAATGCAATCGATATAATCCATAGAAATAGTACCACAAAGTCAACCCATCACGCCACAGTTCTGCTGCCTCGTACCACTCGGCACCAGAACTCCAGCCTGAAGGCTTGTCTTTGTCAATCCCAGTAAATTATTTAGTATTCTCAATTTTTGCTGCATTTGATAAATTTAAATTTTTAACACACACGAGGAAGCCTGAAGAACCATGAGGGAAGAAGTTGCTGTCAATATACGACAGCGATCCCGGATAATGTTCCGTGACGACCTAGTGAATACGTGAAGTATCTTGGTTACCACCCGCTATTGATCGCGCGTGCCAATGCACCGCGTATACTAAACTGTCAGAATCCGAGAAGAATCCGAGAAGATCACAATTTGCCGAGAAGATCAATCCGATCTTGCAAATCGACTTCCTGTATCTGATGCTTGATTTGACGATTTGACATTCGGATGTCCAACGGATGCACTTCTCCAGTTGCTCTTCTCCGCCCTCCGCACCTCTCCGGTTCCCCTTTGCCGTGCGCGTAGTCTTGACTCAACTCTAATCCAGCCTTGGACTGGGGATGAGTCCTCAGTCCCGTTTACTAGTTGGTCTGGAGTTTGATGTCATCACATCACCACCCTCAACCAGGACAACAGGCAACAGACCCCCCAGCAGCAGGGTGCGGAAATAGGACTTAAATCAACAAGTCTGCATGAAACTAACGGTTCTACGTGAAACTAGCCGTTAGTTCCACGAAGTGTTTCACGCAGTGTATGACGCAGTGTTTGACGCAGTGTTTCAGTGTTTCACGCGACGTGAAACTAGCAGTTTCCTGCTAGTTTCGTGCAGAAAAACGGCTAGTTTCACGCAAGATTTACTAGTGATTACTACGGATAGATTGATAGTTTCACGCACGATTGAACATAGTTTTATGTGCTTGAAACTAACGGCTAGTTTCACGCAGGTCTACTAGTTTCACGCAGGAAAACGGCTAGTTTCACGCAGATCTGCGTGAAACTAGTCTAGTTTCACGCAGCCTGCCTTTTTAAAAATAACAGTTCTCCTCCGAAGCCCGTTTCGGCACCCTGCAGGGTTACTCGACATTTTGTCTGTTTGGGAAAGTGTTTTGGCGATTAAGTGTAAATGTCTACACACAGTTAGTAGACATAAGTAGACAAAGTAGACATTGTGCGACATTAGGAGACATTAGTAGACAAAGTGATACATTGGTAGACATTGGTAGACAAAGTGAGACATTGTGAGACATTGTGAGACATTGTGAGACATTTTTGTACTGTTTTACTGTACTGTGTAGACAAAGTGAGACATTGGTAGACATTAGTAGACATTGTGAACATGTAGACATTGTGAGAACATTGGTAGACATTGTGAGACATCCGTAGACATTGTGAGACATAAGCCTCTTTTACAAAGGAGCATAGAACATTTAGGCAACTCTGTAATCAGATACAATAGCCTTAAATAGACAAAATGCCGAGTAACCCTGGGCTCTCGCTCTTGCCCCCTGTTGGATTTGTCAAAGGAGATGTTACTTGCAGCCCAAGTCGCTGCCTATCTGACTATTTCTTGTTTTCTGGTTTAGCCAGCTAGATAGGCCTCCATTGCAGTGTTGGGAAAGTTGGGAATGGTGCCAACCTGCCGAGCTGGCTACTTCCCAGCTCCCGAAACCACACCGTATCCCTTCCTTATGACCAAAACTCAGTTTCACTCAGCACCCTAGCATACTAGATTAGGGCAGGGTTACTCGGCATTTTGTCTATTTATGCTATTGTGTCTGATTACAGAGTTGCTTAAATGTTCTATGCTCCTTAGAAAAAGTGGCTTATGTCTCACAATGTCTCACTTTGTATACCAATGTCTCACAATGTCTCACTTTGTCTACCAATGTTTCACTTTGTCTACTAATGTCTACCAATGTATCACTTTGTCTACTAATGTCTACAAGGTACTGTAAAACAGTACAAAAATGTCTCACAATGTCTCACTTTGTCTACCAATGTCTCACAATGTCTCACTTTGTCTACCAATGTATCACTTTGTATACTAATGTCTACTAATGTATCACTTTGTCTCCTAATGTCTCCTAATGTCTTAAATCTTTTCAACGGTCTGTAGACATTTCCATAATCGCCAAAACACAAACAGACAGAATGACAGAATGCCGAGTAACCCAGGTGAACCCGCAGCACTAGCTAGTTAGCAATGCGCCATGTCATTTGAAGATCCAGCTGAAGCGGTGTCAGGGAATCCCCAAGTCTTTCCCCTTTAGAGCAGTTATTTTTGGTTCCATTATTAGCTATGTATGTTCATTTTCAGTGAGCTGGTTCTATGATGTATTAAGCGCAAGGCAGGAGCTACTGGAAACCGAAACTGAAAATGTTCAATCTCAATCTCTTTTCGCCTATCTCATACTATGTCTCCGTCCGCGATTGTTTCGTACTCTGTTGACGGGAAACACCGGTGTCCCTTTCGCAGTCTGTGCAACCGTTGGCTTCATGTTGACAGAACGATCCACCACCGGGGCATTGACAGACTCCATATCTCCGCGATCAATGGCAATCAAGGTTGTGAAGGAGTCGTCAAAGATCTTTGGGGGTCCTTTGATCTTGCTGACAATGAGCTTTTGCCTTTGATGGTATGATGTCAACGGCGCGCGAATGTCTGCGACGTTGGTAGGCTGATGACGAGGTGAAGCAATGTGATTGATGACCGGCATGCTATCTGCCCGTGCATCTCGTAGCTTCGACGATTTATGTTGCAGTTGCTGTGTCCGCGGTGTCTGGGCGGGGCTGCGTAGCGAGTTGTAGCTTCCCGAGGTTCGCGTCTTATGACTTCGAGCAAGCGATGCTTGCTTCTGAAGCAAGCTGTTGCTTCGGGGGGTGTTGGGGGGTATCACAGCGCGCTTGGATCCGTTGCTATTTGGAGACAGGTGGGCTAGCGAAGTGTGCAATCTCGAGTCTGATTTTCGCTTGTGACGACTTGCCCCGACACTGTTGCTTCGTCTGGTAGTACCCGATGCACGCGACTTGGATTGTCGTCGTCGTCGAGCAGCATTATTACTGCTAGACGGTTCGCTGATGGAAAGTTTCTTCTTTTGGCTGTCCCTCCCTCTACTTCGACCGGTGCTACCAGAAGCCTTGCTGTCAGTTTCGGTGGTGGCACTAACAGCCGTTGCCAGCACTTTGTTGTCACTACTGGTCCGCCGATGTTCTTGGCTCTTGCGCCGTTGTGTGGGCTGCTTTTGTTGAACAACCTGATCTCGAATCGCCTCGATCGGCAGTACAGTGTAGCTTCCTGTCCTCGACAAGCGAGATGCCACATGTCGCAAGTCTGAATGACTTTGGGAATTCCTCTGCTTTGATTGTGCAAACTCGTGGTTATCTTTCTTTCTGTTGCCGTTCACGTCTCGGTCCGAGGAGGACTTTTGCAGATTGTCCACAAGGCCAGCCAAAAGAGAGTACTTGGCCGTTGCGTGTGGTTCTCGGGAATCGGCTGACACGAGGTTGGACACAGTTTGTTTGATCTTGTCCAACTTTTCAGTGTGCTGTTGTGTGACATCTTGTTCGGACTCCTTTGACGTTCTCCTGTTCTTCTGATGGGTCTTCCTCTTGTGAAGTTTCCTCTCATCCTTGTCTTGATGTTGTTGTTTGTCTTCCTTGCTGTCCTTCCGGCGCTTGTCATCCGCGCCCGTACCGGTAGCATGGTCTTGCTTGTCATCGTTGACCTTTTCGCTCGCTTGTCGTGATTTGCGACGCCTCCGAGCATCGTCCTTGGTGCCACTCTTGCTCTTGGTACTGTTCCTGCTCTTCGTCGGCTCTTTGTCAGCGCCAAAGCCAACGTCTATGGGTTCGGAGCGATGCAACAACAGCCTGCCACTTGCATTGAGATCGTCAGAGGATGGAATATCATCTGGAATCCCAAGAGATTGAGTGTGTAGAGACGACGCTATGCGAGCAGGAATTGCGACGGTTGCCATGTTGCTATTCTTGCGATTTGGGCTACCCATTTCTTTGTGAGGACGCTGATTCATGACAACAGGCAAACCAACAACTAACTGATCCCACTTATTATTGCTTGTAACCACAAAAGATTATCAACCAACTAGTCTGCTCAGATGGGAGTTTCTCACGGAATCGTTTTACTAGATAGCTAGGCAATACCAGCAGGGGCACCGGAAGAAGGAACTGCTGTAGCTAGCTCGCATACACAACTCATTCACAGGAGCCTAAGAGAGCAAAGGATCGACAGAGACTTACTTGGCCATCGGTGGTGGGTCGTGTGCAAAGCAACAACAACGTGAGAAAGTATGGGAGAAAGTAACACTCCCAACCCCCAAAGAAACTGTAATGCTCTATTGGTGCCAGTGTGGCAGTGATGGTTCCACTGTGTTCGGTTCCACTAGTTATTACAGCTTTCTTAACAATTGTGACATTTTGAAGACTTCACCTTCCGGATCATGCTGCTGAGTTAAAGGCCAGTTCACCTATCTGTACTCTCCGTTCATTCTAGATAGTGTAAAGTGAGACCCAATCTGCGGGATTACCTCTACAGCACTATTTACGGTACCGGTACAGCGTAGGGCCCTTCGGAACTAGAGGTCCCGCACCAAACCAATTGCACTATTGCACTATTAACAGAGGCAGCACTGGCCGCACAGCTGCGCCGGTACAGTACCTGGTACAACCTAAATCCCAACGCTACTTGCACTCCGGTAGTTCTGGTACCAGCAACACAAAGAGCTGCTTGAAGGCCAAAGCTTGAAGGCTGATAACTCCAGTCGATGCTGGAGAACTGGAGAAGATGACAAGAGTTGATGTGGCCAATTTAGCGGCTGCAAGACGCAAGAACTCCACAGCATGTTAGCGTGTGTGGTCTTTGCAAAGTATCTATTGAGTACATGTAGTACTAGTATGGATTCGATTCGGATTCTCGGGTCTGATTCGATTCGAGTGGTGGTACCTGATACTCATCAGTACGGTACATCTGTGTATTACACAGTGGTACATGACCAAATAATCGTCAAAGCGACTGATGAGTTGCAGGTTTACTGGCAGCAGGACACGTCCGGGATCCGAAGGCAAAGCAAAGCGGTATTGGCTGTCAAGCAGGCCTCGTACGGTACCATTTTTGCAAGAAGTGACTGAACCAAGCAAGTTGCTTTTCTGGCAAACCATGGAAAATCCCTAAAACACAGCTTGACTCTGTGGCACCGGTAACATTTGCTTGTTGGGTTCTTTGACTTGATCATCCTCCATGGGAATCATCAGTGCTTGGGCTCTTTTGGTACTAATGAAATGTGGGATTGTATTGGCAGGCTAGGTAGATTTGGTTGCCGTACTTAGTTAGTTCCCAATTCTCTGGATGTTTCAGGAATTCGGAGTCCCTCCCCTTGACAGCCTGACTTCAAAAGCTTTGCTACTAGCTAGTAGGCTACTAGTAGGTGTTGGCAGCTTTCTGCACCACAAAGGCTTGATCACGGTCAGCTGTATTGTGAAAAAGAGGGAATGAATGAATCGAATCCCCTCCAAGCAAATTGCTGGAGAAGTAGTCTAATGTCTTGGGTTCGTCGACTCGACTCCTCGACTCTTGATCACTGATCACTGCCAACTTCCTTGCCAAGTAATTGGCATGTTTCTCGCAATAGACGTCAACCCCGGTACTACGTGTAGTATGTCAGTCAGCATCACAGCACTCGTTGCTCTACCTGGTACCATGGTACTTCGTGTCCGGATGCTCAACATGACAGAAATCGCACGATTGAAGATTCTGTATCGTACCATTGCAAGTGCAGCAGCTTCAGCCGCTACCAACCGGTACAGGCAGCTTCGTTTCTATTGACTCAAACGCGAGCCGACCTTCTTCGTACATTTCTACACTAGCACTCGTAGAAGTGTACCATAAAAGCCGGCACGCGTTTGAATCAGAAAAATCGAAGCTGCGTACTACTGGTAGCTATGATACATAAAAACAGGAAGCAACGGCTTGATCCACTCCAGAGATTCGCCACTGGTACTTCTAACTAGATTTAACAACCATCACTGGCTTACAGAAACACGTCACGAATGGGAAAAGGTTCCGAACCTCGAGTGCAGCAGTCCAGCCAGGTAGCCAGAGCAACAATTAACTGTAGAAGACAGCAGCCAGAGAATCATGACACATGACAGGTAGTCCAGAGAATCTAGGCACTAGCTAGCAATATCGTTGTACAGTCGTATATTAGAAGCTAGATCCTCTCGGGTATTTGCGTTTGAACCACGCAAGGAGAGAGCTCGAGCGTTCAAGAGAGATAATCTGTTCCGTGCAAATTGGAATCGAATCGAATCCACACTCTCAGAGTCAAACAACCTCTGGATTGTGATTTCTTGGTTGCTCTCTGGATTTCGTTACGATTCATTGTTCATGCACCATGCACCGCCACAGGGAAGGATTCGACCAAATCAAGGTTGCCTTTGATTTAGGATCCGATTTCTCGGACAGCACAACCTCGGCTCCTCGGTCGTCCCTGTCGAGTCTCAGTTTTGGTGATAATAATGACACGCGGAGTGGTCTTTCCTTTGAAGAGGCGTTTGGGAATCAAGGTCGATTTGCTCGAAGACCCAGTCGTTTCATGGAAGCTACCTTCAGGGACAGTACAGGAACCCAGGATGACATGGCCATGCCCAGCAGAAGATCCAGGGTATATCGACCGGCTTTTCCGCCTTCTTCTGCAAGTAATCAATCTCTTGTCAATGTGGGCAACTACAACGACGCCCCTGCCAATCAAAATCAAACGGCTGCTGCCAACAACAACAACAAACCTGTTCTGAAAGGACAAGTTTTCTCGACGGATGATTCTGTGGTTGGAAATTTTGTGAGCCCCAAAGTGCGGCCCCATCCCAACGATTCTCTCGAATTGACGAGCAACACAGCATCATCCTTATCAGGAGATGCAGGGGGAGAATTATTCAATAATTTTCCCACCACTCGCCAGGATCTCAGCCATTCTTTGGTCGCCAAATTGGGAAGTAGTGCCGCTGTAAATCACAGCAAGGCCGTGGGACGAAGGCGAGCCAGTGTGGCCGTATTGACAGGATCCAACAGTTCTGTCTCGGACGAAGGTTCCACGAATAATAATAATCACCGTCACCAGCAGCGCAACCAAACAAGTCGAGAAGCATCCAGGTCACGATCTCGAACTCCAGTGCGAAAGGGACGGTCACACAGTGCTGGTGCAAAATACCGCAGGGGAGAACAGCAACAACAAAAACAATCAACTGATCATGGCGACGGAAAAGATGTACCTGCAGAAAATGATGGACACAAAGACGACAATCACCGGCGTGTCAGACTCCATGAGCACAAAGACAAGGAAGATTCACGTTCTACCAGACGAGAACGCAGCCCTGCAGTTGATGGTGGGGATCAAAGGACGGCTGATGATTCCAGCCGCCGTCGCAATCACCGAACGGATGACAGCAGTCGTCGACATCACAGAACAGACGACAGCAGCCGTCGGCATCATAGGACAGATGATGACGGCAGTCGTCGAAATCAAAGGATAGATGATGACAGCAGCCGTCGGCATCACAGGACAGATGACGGCAGCCGTCGAAATCAAAGGACCAGGAGCGGCAGTGGTAGTCGAAGGAGTCACCGAGTGGAACACAGCAGGAAACCAGAGAGTCAAAGTCCCGAACCATCCGGAGCCAGGCGACACCGAGATAGGGTCGAACGACGAGGAGGCGGTCAAAGTGGCAGTCCACATGATAATAGACGCCGTACCGGCAGGGACAGTCGGAGTCCACCCGACGGTTCGCATCATCGAAGGAGGACAAGCCACGAAAGAGGAAGGCATGCCAGGGGACAGCACGACGATCATCATCCCGGCGATCATCATGGGTCTCACGACAGAGGCCATCGTAAAGAAAGTGGCAGCCCGACGGAAGCTAAAGGTCGTCGCAGACATCGCCACAGTGAAATCCGAAATGAGAAAAAGTCCAAAAGCAGAAGTCCAAAGGCAGGCAATCGAAGGCGTCACAGCGAAAGTCCTCGTGCAAGCGCCAATGCCGCGGATACGACAAATTCCAACACAGCTGCACCTGCGCCTAGACGGAGTCGGGGGAGTATGATTATTCTAGACCAAACGAAAGCTGCCGAGGCCGCAATTCCCGCTGCAAATACTACCACTTCCAAAGCTACACCCAATCCTCCGAGACGAGCACGAGGAAGCATGATAATTCCAGGCGAATTCCCAGTCCCTCACACTGAGCACTCTGAGGATAAAAGCCATCACGTGGGAAGTCATCACGACGACAATCACCGTCAACACCACGCGAGAATCAAGGACCGAAGACTTAGTCCACATGATGGCGACAAGAACCGTATAGCAAGAAGGCCACCCCATCGCAGGTTGGAACGGAAGCGTAGCAAGAGCATGGGCGATGTCAAAGCAAAGAGCAGAAGTAGACTTCATGCACAAGACAACGACAAGATGAAAGGGGCGGCGAAACGCAGATCTTCCAGTGCGGATATTGTCAACACTCGGCATCGCCACAAGATCAAGAATCGCAGCAACCATTCAAACAATGATGACCTTGCCACCACGAACAGCAGCATGGAGCGCCATGAAGTAGCAGTTGCTCTTGCAGCTGGCAAAAAAGTCAGTCTTTCTCCCCGCAGCCGTCGTCTTACAGCGCACGTGAAATCGAAGGAAGCAACGCTGTTACGACACCGCCGTCTCTCTGCACCGACGCACAACTCGGGCTCGTCTATTGACGATGAAAAACGCAAAATACACCCCCGGGGCCGATCGCCTCGTCGCCACGTAGGCGAAGAGCCAAGGTCGTCGTCATCGTCGTCGCAGGACGCTGCGGAAAGATCAACACACAAACTGACTCTTGACACTGGCCGTCGCCGTTCCATCTCTCCAAAGAAAACTCGAACCTTGACAAATCAGCACACTGGCGAACACAGCAACAGCAGCAAGCCAAGCAAATACAAAGAATCCTTGATGCGTCATACGAGTAAGGACGATTCGGGAGGACGTGCAGCTCCAAAAGAGCGGCCCACTTTGAGACGCCATTCCAGCCTGAACCAGTTGGAAAACAAAAGTAGAAGGTCGCTTGTCCCAATCAGGCAGAACTTGTCGCATTCGGACTTGGATGAGGCAAGGTCCGGTATTCTGTTGGAACGATCCAGGTTGGACTTTTTGGATGAGCAAATGTCCCTTAGCGACAGTGACGACGACAGTGAATCTGGCCTCGCCCAGAAGCAGGGGCTGCAACTGAAGTCTATCTGGCAATATGATCAAGTGAGTTCCAATCAGATTCCCGACTTGCCAGAGCCTCGGTTTTCCGACCCTCAGTTTTCGGAACCCGAGTTTGACGTTACGGACGAAGAACTAGATAGTCCAGCGCTGCACAGGGTGACGACCACCAACCTTGACCATGTGGATCTGACAGCCCTTAGTGCGGCTCAAGTGCAGGTGGTTTTGGCAAGAGCTCGGGGTGAGTTGTAGCTGGGTAGTAAAAGGGTATTGTAATTAGCAATCCTGCTATTGTTAGACTGGTGCCTTGTGTTGCCTCATGAGCTAGCTAAGCTAGCTAGTAGTCACATAGCTGGTACTTGGATCGGCTTGGAGGAGGGACTGGCAAACATGGCAGATATCTCACCAGACAACACGAGGCCCACATCACGCTTCACAAATATCCTCCAGTGTCTGTCTGGAGATCGGCAATATGTAGGGAAGCTCGAGTAGGGTCATTGCTGCGTTGAGCAGTGAAGCAAAAGTCAACACTGAGACCTTGGAAACGCTCAGTAGCAGTTCACATGTTAGCAGTAACACGGGCACGCTCCTTCATCTTGGCAGCAATACAAGCTGGGCACTTATCAATCAAAGAAGACATTGGCTCCACAGAAATTGTCTCTTCCAGGCTCTTGACCAGCAGTGTGGAATAGTCTCCCTCGTAGATGTGATTCCAACTGGTCACAGAATATCTTGTCTCCGGGCTTCAGCTGTCCCTGTTTGAGGACCCTGGCCTTGTCAGGACGATCGGAGGTGATGGTGTTTCCATCTGGTCTTGTTTCCATCTGGTCTTTGGGTTTGCTTTCCAAATTGGCAAGCTGGGCACATAGGAATGCTGTACCCAAGTGTGCCAGGTGTTTTGTAGGGTCCCATCTTGGAAACTTCATCCCTGTAGTGCTGTTTAATCTTCTGGCCTATGCAAGCCTTGGTCATGTGGGAGTCGAATCGTACTTCGCAGCTAATGGACTCTTCTGTAGTGATCTTGATCTTCTGTTCTCTCAGTTCTGCAAAGAACTTGAGAATGTTGTCTTTTCGACACGATGGCTATGGCATTATCAACATACAAACAAATCAAGATCATATTTTCACCAGATCCTCTGGAAAACAAGCAGGGATCAGCCTTACTATACTCAAAGTTTAGCTTGTTCACAAGAATGCCCTTCCAGAACTTGAAGAACTGCATACTTGTCTGGGCCAAACCATAACTGGACTTGACCAGGAACATGCAGTCGTTCCCATCTATCTCCATTCCTCGAGGGACCATGATCCAAATGAGGGCTGTCTTGGCATCAAGTGTGAAACAGCATTGTTCGTTGGATGATTGAACGCTGGACCATTCGAATGATTGAATCATTCGATTCGATTGAATCAATCGATTCATCCGATTCAACCAATGCCAACTGGTCCCTTCTTTGACCGTGACTTAACTCTTCGGCAACGGCTTCGGTGCTCATCTTCGCGCTTCCAGCAGCAAAGCCGCAAATCCCATTTTGTTTTCTGGTGCACCCACAACAACAACATCGCACATAGCAAATAGCTGGAGTACCAAAGCAACAGACAACGACCATGTCCGACGGATTCAATCTACTCATCCGACTGAGCAATGGACAACGCTTGGAGGTGACGTTAGAAGGCGATGACAGCTCCGCCATTACCGTGTTGAAAGTGAAAGAATGCATTGCTAGCAAAGATTCGAGTGCTCCTGCCGAACGGCAACGATTGATCTTCAAGGGACGCATTTTGGAGAATGAGCGCACAATGTCGGACTATGCTATAGTGAAAGGTTCCACTCTGTTCATGGTCAAATCGGCAGCAGCGCCAGCTCCATCAACAGCCGCCTCAACGACGACAACCACCACACCGACCCCGTCCTCCACCAGTAACCCTAGTATGGGTTCTGCAGGGACTGCTCCTCGTCCACCCACCATGAACACCAACAGTCCCTTTGCAGCAGCAGCAATGTTTGGACAGCAACAACAACAACAACGACAGGGTGCCATGCCTGGCATGCCACCTGGCGGAATGCCGAATCCCGAACAGATGCAAGCCATGCTCAATTCGCCCCACATGCAGGGTCTGCTCGACAATCCGGAGATGCTGGGTAGCATGCTAGAACAGTCCATGCAATCTCCTCAAATGCAGCAGTTGATGGAACGTAATCCAGAATTGCGCCAGCTCTACAGTGATCCCGCCATGATCCAACAAGCCATTCAAATGATGCGCAATCCACAGCACATGCAACAAGTTATGAGACAACAAGATCTCGCCATGAGTCAGCTAGAAAATATGCCCGGTGGGTTTGCTGCTCTCTCCAATATGTATAGAAATGTCCAGGAACCCATGATGGAAGCACAACAGGCCAGCAGAAGTCCAAACACTTCCACCGCTGCCAACGGAAACTCCAGCGGAGCTGAGGGGGCCACGGGAGCTGCCATGCCCAATCCTTGGGGATCACCGGTTCCTGCCCCACGAAGTAGCACCACTAGCAGCAATAATAATCCTGCTGCTGCCCCTCCCAATCCATTTGCTGCAATGCAGGGAATGCAGGGTGGTGCCCCCAATCCATTTGCTGCCATGGCGGCAATGCAGGGTGGTGCTCCAATGCAGGGTGCCCCCAATCCTTGGGCTGGAGCTGGAGCAGCAGGTAATGCTCCCAATCCATTTGCTGCCATGGCAGGCATGCAGGGTGGTGCGCCCAATCCATGGGCAGCCGGAGGCGCAGGTGGCGCTCCTCCCAATGTCGATCAAATGATGCAAGTCCTCGATAATCCCGTCATGTCGCAAATGATGACGGATATGGTGCAAAATAATCCTGACATGATCCGCACCATGTTAGAAGCCCAAAACCCAATGCTGCGACAAATGTTCCAAGGCAACCCCGAAATGGCCAATAATTTTGTGCAAAACATGTTCAATCCCCAAAACATGAGAAACATGATGGAAATGCAACGGGCCATGGGTGGAGGTGCTGGCGGAGCCGGTGCGGGTGGTGCGCCTCCCATGTTTGGAATGCCACCCATGTTCGGCATGCCTCCAGGAGGAGCCGCTGCGGGTGGAGATTTGGATTTTTCCACTCTGCTACAGCAATTTCAACAGACGCGATTGAATGCTGGTGCTGGGGCGGCGGGTGCTGCCGCTCCGGCGCCACCTACGAATCCAGCCGATCGATACCGTACGCAGTTGCAGTCCTTGTACGGGATGGGATTCGATGATGAACAAGCCAACCTGGCTGCCCTGCAAGCCAATCACGGAAATTTGAATCGAGCAGTGGATCAACTCCTGATGAGCCCACCACCACCAGCGCCGGCGGCATCGGGTGACAACAATGCCGGAGATGCAGCACCATCAAGTGGCGGTGATTCCACGGCAGAAGGAAAGAGTGATTAAGAGAAATTGCACATTATTGAGTTTACAACAATGGGAGGAGACCTAGAAGATTAAATCATCACAACAAGGCCAATAGCACTAACTAAGCAACAAACGCAACAAATACGGTAATGGAGGCGAAATCGAGTAAGCAACAAACAACAACGATTTCTTTCAGGATTCACAGCCAATCGTCGTCCTCGTGACGATCCAAGTTTTACTTGTCTACGAATTGCACCATCCAGGCCGTAGTTTCTACATAAATAACTCGACACACTTATAATAATCAGAGAAACAAAACAAAAACAGGGCACTACCGTAGAAGAGCTGTTATAAGTCATTACTATTTCTTTCGGCGCTTGAACTTGCTCTTGGACTTGAACGAATTGACAGACTTTTTCTTCCCCTTCTTTCTTTTGTTGTCGGGATCGAAGTTGTCGTCACGGAACTTGTAGCTGAAGTGTGGAAAGGAAAGGAATCAAAGTAGTGTCAGACAAGAAACAGAACAAAAACGATGCGAGTTGCGGGGCCAAAGACCAGAACTCACCTGCTCTTGATAACCTTTGCCGCCTCTTCAGATTTGGAAGACTTCTTTGCGTGAACCACTTTCTCCTCTTCAAACAGACTGCTATCCCCTGCAGAATCTCCTGCTTTTCGTTTCTTCTTCTTCCTACCTTCTTCAGTTCGCACTTTGCCGCTAAGGCTGTTTGCAGCCATCTCTCTGTCACGCTTCTGTTCCTTCCTCTTGGCAGCCTTCGCAGCACTCTTCATGATTTGCTCCGGCTCTGGACGGGGCGTATTCTCCTCCTCCTCCTCGTCATGCTCGGCTAATGCCTCGCGCGCCTCACGAGCTCGACGCTTCTTTCTCGTCATGCGATGGATTCCCGTACCAGCCTTTTCCCGAATCATGGCTTGCCGCTCTGCAAGTGCCTCTTTCGTCATTTTCTTCTGTTTATTGGAGGCAAACCACTCTCTTTGGGGTCGGGACATGATTTCGCTGGAATGCTCAATGAGATTTTGGGCCTTTGTGGCCTCCATATCGGCAAGGCGATCCAATCTGGCCACTGCTTCCGCCTGCTGGACTTCTTTTACATGAGGTTCCAAAGACTGGATCTTTTGGACAAAGTGGGCTACAACTGCAGCTGGAATGGACCTGGAGCGAATTGTTCCTGACTTGAAACGGCGTCCTTTCTCCGCCCGTTGCTTCTTCTTTTCTGCGGCGTCTTTAATCACGGCCTTCATCAGGTGCCTCCTCCCTTCTCCAATCAATGTACACGAGCGACCACCCCGGCCGGCACGGGCAGTTCGTCCAATACGATGGATATAGTTTGCGGTGTTTGATGGCATTTCAAAATTGACCACGGTCTCAACGTTCGGAATATCAATACCTCTGCCCGCCAAGTCCGTGGCCAACAAGATATTCACTTCTCCGTTTCGAAAGCTCTCCAGTGCCGTGAGACGCTGTGCTTGGGTAAGATTTCCATGCAGTTCGGCACACTTAATCCCACACAGACCGCAGAGAATCATGATTCGATGAGCCGTTGCTTTCGTATCGAAGAAGACGATTGTTTGGCTAATAAAACTTCGTGTCAGTAACGCCAGGAGGATGGCCTCTCGATTGATTCCTTCGTTTCCGGATCGGATTCTGACAAACTCTTGCTCTAGATGCGGGGCAACTTCAATGTCATTGCTACCGGCCGATGGACCTGACCCGGTGTTGTTGTTGGCATTCTTGTCACTCACACGAATCCTCACTGGTCGCTTCAGGCTGAGTTTGATGAGGTCGTCTACCTTCGTGTTCATGGTGGCAGAGAAGAGCAAAGTTTGTCGTTGCACGGGGCATTCCTTCACAATTTCCATCACTTCATCTTGGAATCCCATATCGAGGAGCCTATCTGCTTCGTCCAGTACAAGAAACTCCAAGTCTGATTTGACGTGGATGTCAGTGAGTGCACGGATATGAATGATTCAAAGACCACTTCACATGACCGAATAGTCTTACCAGAGAGGGTGACTCCTGCTGAATTTGTCACATGGTCCAGAAGCCGACCTGGAGGGAAAGGCAAGAACTTTTGTCAATGGAAACAATACACGGGCCGGACAACACTCATATACGCAGGATACGCACCTGGAGTTGCCACAATGATATCAGGCCGAGTACGAAGCTCTGCTGCTTGGGAGGGTAGATTCTTGCTACCACCAACAATCAAGGCTACTCTGATACTTGTGAATTGAGCTAGGGAGGATATCATTCCAAGACATTGAGCCGCCAGTTCGCGTGTTGGAGTCAGGATGAGTGCGCGTGAAGCACCTGACGTTCTGTGAAGGAGGCGTTCCAAGATGGGCAAACTGAATGCTGTGGACGGGCCAAGACAATGAAAACAAAGGTAAGACAAAGTTCCAAGCATTTGCAGAATCTCTTATCGAGTGTCTTATTAGCACTTTCTTACCCGCAGTCTTTCCAGAGCCCGTCACAGCCGAGGCACAAATGTCTCTCCCAGACAAGGCGGCAGGGATGCAGGCAGCCTGGATAGGAGTGGGCTTGACAAACCCCATGGCGGCAACGCCACGAAGAAGGGGACGAGACAGCGTCAATTGGACGAACAACTCAACGGCTTCTCCTGGCCCGTTCAGTGTGGATTGCGAGTCAAAGAACTTTTCCGCCTTTTTTGCCTCCTCGACGTCTTCTTCATCCGAAGAAAGATCTTTGTCGTCTTCATCGTCATCATCTGGCTCATCATCATCATCATCATCATCATCATTGCCCGCCCTTGATGTTAGAACATCCTTTTCCATTTTGTGAGCTTTATCGTCTTCTTCTTCTTCATCCTCACTTTCGCTAGAATCATCATCATTGATGCTATTGCTGCCTCCAGTGCTGGATTCAGAGTTGTTGTCGTCGTCGTCGTCATCACCATTGCTCCCTTTGCTATCCTCTCCACTTTCGTCGTCTCCATCTTCCTTATCGGCTTCCTTTTCCAAGTCGGCATTGGTATTCTTTTCTTCTTTGAGCACCTTCCGTTTGGCAGCAATGATCGAAGCAATATCCATTCGAGGTGGAGCGGCCGATTGGCTCTGATTCTTCGTAATGGAATTCAAGGCAGTCTGAAAGGACCATCCTGGAGTTCCTGGAGAAATAGATAGCGTCACAGCATCTCCATCTTCACCCTTTGAAATGAAAATAGAAAAAGAGAAAGAAATCTCATTGTGTGAGACAAAGAGCTCCAAAGAGAAAAAGTACTGTACGTGGAATGGAATCCAGACTGATGGGTGGTGGACGTACCAAGATTCCCCCAAACTCAAAAGAAGGATCCATGTCATCACCAGCCTCATTTTCTTCATCATTACTGCTTCCTTCTGCGTTGACATCCTCATCGGAATCAATCGAGGGTAAAAGATCCGCCATGGTCAGCTCTCTCATGTTCTGTCAATAATTGAGTTTGTCTTCTCGAAACTCACACCGAGAAAATCGGTGGCCTGAATTAATCACGAATAGTTTAGTCATGAGTAGCGAAATGGTTTGGTCTGTCTGTTGCCCGAGCCTAGTACGGTGGCGTTGGTCCGGGTTCTCAGAAGGGAGGGGGGGAGTCCTGATGGCACTGTCCTATTGCCTCAAAGGAAAGCCGACAACTTGAATCAATCAAAAGCAATACATGCCTAGCTAGATAGTAGAGCCAAAGCTAAATTTTCAATCTACTGCCTCGCCTTTCTTTCTTTGCTGCTTTGAAGAAGAGATACACAAGATCTTGGCAATTGCGCCTCTTGCTTGATTCGGACAAGCAAATGCGCATTTGCTCTGATCACTTCGCCTATGCATGCAGCCATGTATTGCCTCCACCGGTCAAGCTGGAGTGCCAAGAGAGATAACGATGGTTTCCTTAGCAAAGGAACCTACTATGCTTTCAATGGCCCACTGGCAGTCTCCTATGGCAGCTGGCAGTGCACTACTAGTATGTGTTAGCGGATGCGTGCTGCTTCTAGCTGATCGCTCTCGAGGGCTCTTAATTAATGCGCTGGATCAAGTCATTGCCAACTATCCGGATAGATGCAAGTGCGTTGCTCAGATCCGTCTGCGTCTGCTGGCTGCTGGCTGGAGGATGTTCAAGGCACCGGCTTCTTTGGGGAGGAGCCAGCAAACATTCCAGATTGATCCCAGACTACTATTCGTAATCCGCATGCAGCGCAAAAAGCCGAACCAATCGCCGCCGACCAGAGCAGCATCTTACTCTACTAGCTAGCTAGCTAGTGGCTGGCACCGCGCTTCTCAAAGATATCAAGCGGTGTCTCGTCGTCACTGACCAAACACATCGACGCTGAACCAGTGGTTGGTTTCGCTCCATGGAGGCCTGCCTCCAGCCTCCAGCTACTAGTACCGGTACGGTAGCGTCGCGTTTTGTTGTGAGATGCTGTTGCTGTGACCTTGGAGGGAAGTGGATCTTTATCAAACGTCATATCTCTGACCATCCAATAATTCATAGTCATTCTTTCAATTTAGAGATCACTGGACATGATTGTGTTTCCGAGTTTACTGTTAAATCCACAGAGTAGTGATGGTGCTTTCTGCGTTCCAAGTGTGACGTTCGAGCACAAGTTTGACCGGAAGGTTCACCAAGAAAGACCCAACGAAGTTACAACAACGAAAGCTCGATGAAATGCATCCTGGTTGGCAGTTGGCAGGCCACCATTCATCGACCGAGGAAGCCGCTGGGCTGGCAAGTGTTCACAGCATTCAGGCTCGAAAGAACCTCTCCTGCACACAAAACGGCGACCGCGTAGAGAAATTCCATCCAGCCACATATCACTTCCTTCGTTCTATTTGATCATTCTCTGGCCTTCATGTCACCTACCACCATGACAGATTCCAGCTCTGAGAGCTGCACTACGAATGACGTGCTGTTTCAAATCACTGGCATTGACCGACTCCGTCTCGTGGAATGCAAGGGAGATTATTCGGATGACGACAGCTGTGAAGGAAGCTACGCCAACGACTCTGCCCTCATCACCAAGAGGCGACAATCCAGCCTATTGCGACGGGGATCAACGGCAACCACATCACGACGAGGAAGTCAATCCGAACGGCCATCGTTCACCGCAAACATGTTGGATGACTTGCAATCGGAGCTGAGTTCGGACGACAGCGATGAGTATGAGCTGAGCTATCAGTTCAATGACAGCGACTGTGATCTTGGCACGAGCAACAGCAAGATTCTGGGTGCCTCACAGCGCCGTCTTAGCAAGGGACTCGCCGGTGGTGACAACAACAAGACCAACATGCTGCCGGCTAAACGCTCGTCTGAAAAGCCCATCTCAGCTGCTCGCAACAATAACAAAGCTGTGGCCGCCTAAGCACTAGATAGACAATGGGCATTCCTCTGAAGGGTTTGCTCCTTTTGTCGCTCCTGCGGCCTTGTTCCGCTGCAACACGAATATCCTTCCTGGAAACAATTGTAGATACTTACTTTCATAAACTTCATAGATTCATAGATTCATAGATTGTCCCATTTGGCTTGACTTGGTGGTCACGTAAAGGGTTCTCGTCCTGGGCACCACAGCATTCGCTGGCTAGTCCCATTGTGCCATTGTATGGTCAGGTTTGTGGAATTGAGACGGAAACTCTTTGAGTTGTAACGTAACTTGTTGTGTGTATCATTGATGCAAGTGTCTCAATCTAGCACAGTAGAGCTGAAGGCAGAACGGGTCTCTCTTTGAAAGATAAACTCCACCTGCTATGTGGACTCAGTTGCTCAGGCAATTTCTGCCTCACTCCTCTTTTGTTAGAAAAGCGTAGGTAGTGAGCGAACCTGCCGGTATCCTCTGATGTATAATCACTACAAGTATAAAGATGCAAGCCTCTGGAAAGGTCGAGCACAAACTTGATAAGTGCTATGGTTTTCGGTCAACAGTCCAGGAGGAAGCAAGGGATTTGCGGAGCCCTTTCGCGACCGAAGGAAGAACAACATGGAGGAAGCACAATCACCTTACATACAGTGCGTGTTATCAAAGTACTCAAGGTGACAGCACTGAGTAGTTCCGAAGTTCTAAAAGACTACTCTACAAAGGAACTGACTAGCGGTGCTGTACAAGGTCCATAATAGCTCTAGGTGGTGGCAAGGCAATGATTCGGCATCCTATGTTACCTGGTACCCAACCCTGCCAAACCAGTGGCAGTCTTTCGGGTTGGTTTTCAAAGCTTAGCTGGCTTCATTCCACGTCGTTGGTGTGTTGGTGTTGCCGAAAAAATCCATCCTGATAATCCAGGGTGAGGGAACACAAAACACAAGAACACATGCAGCAGGAGAGTGCTTCCCAAGTTGAAAGGAATACTACAGATATTGTTATAGAGAACAGCCATGGCACTCACCTTATTGGTAGCTGGAGCCTATGCAGGTTACATAGCCAAGCAGCAAGCCGAAATGGCAAAGTACGACGAGTCTATCCAGGTGGAAGGAAAGACCAAGGTCAGCTTGCTTCGTGGTGAAAAAGCACAAATTCTAGAAATCCCCTTGACATGCATCAATTGGTTTGAGGGCGACTACCGACAGGTCGTCCCTCATCTTCGAAAGCGAGTCGATGAAATCCTTCAAAAGAATCCATTTCTGGCCGGATGGCTACTATTGGATAAGGATGACAGCTTTGCGCTCTCGTTGCTTTACGACGCAACCGGTCAAGATCTCAACAACAAGGACAAAATATTCCAGGTCTATGACAATAATCATCCGCAACCTGATGGTGACGATGCTGAGGAAACGAAAGACGATCAGCAGAAGGTTTCCTTGACTCCCAATACATCTTACGCCGAGTGTACGAAACAACTGCGTCAAGCGGGTGCCATGCTGCCATTGCAACATGAGCTCATTGGCAAGAATTCCCCCATATTTCGAGTGTCCATCATTCCTGATGCTGAGGAACCCACAGCTCGTTTCGCGTTGGTTGTTTCCAAGACTCATGCTCTGGGTGACAGTCATACTTTTTATAAACTCATTGGCATGCTCGACATTGAAAAAGGCTTTGCCCAACAGCTTATGGTCGAACGAGAGCAATCCATCCATCAAATGGCACGTGATAAAATGGGAGACGACGCCTTGAACTACCTCTCCACAGCCTTCAAAAAGCCACCCGTTGATTTGACGGAAACAAGAAATGAGCCTACCGTCATGAAAGTCTTTCATGTCAAGGAATCGTGGTTCCCACACAAACACAAGGGGGCACGACGTGCCAGCATGTTTGCCGAAGTCGCTCAAGATTACACCCAGCGCAACTCTACCATATCCGAAAATTCCATTATGGCTTCGTGGTTCTTTCGATTGACGCAGGCGGACATTGCCTTTATGGGATTGTCGTTAAGAGACCGTCTCGACGGTTGTCTGGTGGGTGACTTTCATGCTGGCAACTATGTCGCAGGAATTCCCTATACTCCAGCCGACTACGCAACGCCCGAGTTGGTGGAACAATCAGTGGCGCGGCTGAAACGATGTGGGGATGATGAACCCCTTCCTCCCTTTCGGTGGAACAACAGTGCTTCCATTGCGCTCAACTGGGCTCATCGATTTCAAAACAAGCTTCAACTGCTGCCTAGTGGCGAGGGAGATTGCAATCACATTAGTCATCTGATCCTGTTTGATGCGGAAATCATTCAAAATGTACCAGGACGATTGAGTCTGTGCTACATGTTTACATCGGTTCCATCGGAAGCAAAAGTGGGAAGCTCAGAGGGTGGAATTGAGGTTGTCCTCCCAGGAAACGATGCCTTGTCCATGGCCGACCTTGCGGCCCAACTTGCTGCCGAACTGGAAGATGGCGACGGCGATGAAGATGCGCAGGATGAAGCTGTCAAGAAGCACTTGCATGGAAAGCGTGCGGGTCTCTTGGTAGTCTGCCGACAATCTGTTTGGGACGAGATTGAAAAGTCGGGCATTGTAGACGAGATGATTGTGGAATAGCTAGCTAGTAGCCATGGCACTGCTTTCTCAACGAGGTTGTCCCTGGTGGAAACTTGACTTCTGCTCCACAGGATATGGTTGGAGTTGAAGGCTCACAAGAACCTGATTAAGGGATGAAAGAAATTACTTGTGCCCGCTCTTGAAGCTCCCACTCTAGCTAGCTGCTGGATACCGTAGCTGGCTAGCCATCGTAGAATTCCAGGATGTGCAGATAGACAGAGAGTCAACCCATCTGTTAGAGGCATCTCGATACCAGTACTTTTATTTACAACATAGGGTTTTATCCTGTGACAATTAATGTTACCAATAGCAAACACTTCCTATCCATTGGAGCCTCTGGGACAATACCGGTAGCCACGATCCTACACAATGGACGGAGAGAGTCACCCACCAAGTTCTTCACGGTGCGCTTTCTCATTCTACCCAGAGCCAAAGAGAAATCTCGGCAACAGTGACGAGCAGTTGTTTCAAAATAAATGACTATTACAGAAAACCTTGGCGCACCAGCCAGATAACATGTATGTGAAAGAACAAAATGCGCCAAGTCAACCCACCATATCTCAGTTGTCTCCCATCATGAAAGCGCCAAATTCATCTGCTGACATCGCTTCATAGTCTTTCTCCCCCAGCACAAACTCCAAGCAGCTCTGTAAAAGTGGGTTGGACAATAAGGCTTGCTTCATATTGGCCCAGCTGTTGCAGGACTCGAACAGTCGTCGTATGAGCTTTTGGGCTTTCTTGATTGCCCGATTCATTTCGGGCTGAGAAAACCCATTGCGGCACACTTCAGCGTCATCAATGACTTGATCAAAGGAATGCAAAAATCCTTCAGCCTTTTTCCGAAACAAAACTGCCGCAATCAATGAACGAGCCACCGTCGATGCAGTGTAAGCACGGCCAGCAATAATGACGTGCTGATTCATAAAGTCAATGCATTGAGTGACTTCTGACGCGTTGTACGTCTTCAACTCTTCCAAGACCTCAATTATCTCATTCCCTTCCAGATGCACCAGACGATCTGCCGCCTCCCGTGCCGGAAGACGCGAGTAATGTTTTCGGATGCGGCAATCTTCGTAGCGGGAACCGTAGTCCACAAAGATCTCGGTCTCAGAACCGTCCGCTCGAATCGTAAACGGTTCATCACTTTCTCGGTGATGGCCAACCAGATAATGGACACAGCCTTCTGGGGAATGCCCAGCAAACACCGACGGTGTGAAGTGGCCATCAGTTTCGTTCACGTACGCCGGGATGTGGCGATTCGCAATGTCGTGTAACTTCCCAGTGGCGTCGTCCGTAATGTCGAACAAGTGATCATCATCAGTGGTATCAAAATTCCACTCCTCGCAAATGGAGCCGTGAAGAAAGTTCTTGAGGAGAAAGACATGGCTTGCCTTCCTGTCTTCCCGTCGAAAGGGAGCGTACACGCCTAGGTCCAACAACTCCCCCGGTCGCAGCTGGAAGACATCATTGCTGTCACCCATCAAACTCGTGCAACTCACAAACACCCCTTTTCCGGCATTAGGAATGGAAGACTTCTTAGCTGTGAAACAGAGATGGAAGCCGCGAAATTGCAACGTGAGTCTTGGCGTCCACATATCATCTTCATCGACGATGAAGTCCTCGTGGCGGTACTCTGGAACCAGCCACGAGAAGAAGAAAGGAGTTTCATGAGCACGGACGACGTTGGGGTTGTAGGCCAAACAACCTCCATAAGCGGTCATTTCGTCAACGTTTGCCTGTGCCTTTGGAACGGTTACTCCGCTCTGAGAGAACCCAGCGTTGGCGAGCGCTCTTGATGCATCCAGATACTCAATGGTGAAGCGCTTGATTCCCCCAAGTAGGAGCTCGTTTTCTACGCCAACAATCTTCCCGTAGATGACTTTCTTGTTTCCCGTCACGTCAATCCAGCTCTGCTTGTATCCCTTTCCCAAGAGGGGGTGATCCTGAACCTGCACAGTGGCGTGGCAGCCTACCATTCTGTAGAAAGACCTTGCAGCCTCGGCGGCGTCCGTGATGGTAGGGCCAAGATACGGAACCGCAGTTTCGACGCTTGAAAAGCTTCGTCCCCCAGGCGAAAGCAGCACAAGCCCCTCCAACCCAGTGTGTTCTGAGCTTGCGACACGAGGAAGCTTCTTCGGATCGGTGTAATAGAAGGTCCAACCTTCTGGCAAGTACTTTGCCGGTTGTGCCTTGTCTTTTGTATCGATTTCAAGACACATCTGGATCAGGGGCAACCGACGTTAGAAAAAGTGCTGCAACACGTCCACAAATCAAGTTTGGTGCATACACCTACCTTCTGCAGACAAATTTCCTTGAAAGGACGGGTGTAGTTTTTGTTGTGTAAACAAGATTCGCACATGTTGCAACTGGGCTTCTGACACATGATGCACATTTTGCATCGGCGTTCATGGAGTTGACGAAGCGTAAGACCTGCTGACTTCTCTACCCTGGCCTTTTTCGCCGCCCGCCCCTGAGAAACTCCAGTGATCGATGGCCGCTTTGCAGCGACTCCGCCACTACCAGACGGTTTCACGATGGCCCCGGGAAGTCCAATGGATTGATAAAACAAAGAGAGGTCCACACCGGCCAACTTGACGGGGCAATGATTCACCGCCCTCTCCGCCGAGTTGTATTTGTGTGATGTTGGTGGTGGTGCAATAAGAGTAAAGCCATTCATGTGCTCAAAATCCGTGCGGACCAATTCAAAAGCAAATGTCCACCCCTCAGGAAATCCAACTGCTGGCTGAGCTTTGAGTGATAGATTGATCTCCAAGCACATCTTTTCGTCAAAGCAAGCACAGCAACCAGCAACAACATGTGAGTGGTGAGGGCTGAAGTATGACACGTATCGGAACAACAACGAAATACCTTTTGGAAACAGCAATTCTTGCCACCGGCGTCTCTCCCCTTGCAGCAAACGCAGAGACCACAATCTTCCCTTTTGCAATTGACACACTTTCCACAGCGATTAAGCATCAGTTGGTGTGGCGTGTATGGCTTGACAGCCTTATCTGACGAGCTGTCGCCAGCGGCGCGACTGTGGGATTGTGACTCGCGAGCCACTGCTGCTGCCGCGCTTGCGGTTTCCTTTCCCATGTAGCGAGTCCTTAGCCCCAAGTACGTGTATACTTTCAAAAAGTCCGGCTTCTCAGTGCCCCAGTTGAGGCTCTCGAGTGCTCTGTACCTTCGGCCTCCTTTCGTTACAAGGACAAGACCCTCGTAGCGAGGGTTGGACTCAGGCTCCAAAAATGCAAATGCAATGCTGGGAGGCAAATGCTTCGAAGGCTGCAGCTTCATGTCTTCTGGAATCTCCAAGCAAATCTTCGAAGCGCAAAGTATGTGAGACGCTTGGAAATCTTTTCAGTGGATGACAAAATTCAATTCGCACCTTATGAAAGCAGCAAACCTTCTCTTTACCAAAGCGATTTGCCTTACAGGAACCACAGTCACCACAATCCTTTGCCTTGCACCTTAGGCAATTCCCGCAGGCTTTCTCCAACAGTTCGTGAAGATTCAAGCCATTGAAGCCCTCGGATGCTTTGGATGGAGGCTGAGGTGGCGCTGGAGGAGGCTTTGTTGAAGGCGGTTTCTTCGACGACTTCGACGAAGGTTTCGTAATTTTTTTGGCAATAGCTAGAGCCTCCTTGTAGGAGTCTTCGCCAAGGGTGTTCCGGTATTGTTGCATTGACTCCACCTTCGATCTACTAATGTCTTCACCAAGATCTCCATCGTCGAACATCACCTGAGTTATGACACATTCATGAGCGCGACTTGCAACATGAAATTAATCTCGACTATTTCCAATTCCCACGCATCAGACTTACTGTGTACAAGTAGAAACGGGATTTCTTCCTCTTGATTCTGGATTCAACGTGTCCCCAGTAGTAGTTCTGCAGATGTCAACAAATAAAACAATTAGGCACTTGACCATACATTCTCAGTTCTTTGAGGTATTCCACTTACCCTGTTTTCCGGATACTCAGCGTATACACGTTCGCCCACTTCAAGGTCCCGTGTTCTCTCTATCGTTTCCTCGTCTGTTTCTTTCCGATCAGAATCATCATCATTCGAATTGTCCTTAGATCCAGAACTCTTTCTTTGAAAGGACTTATGACGTTCCTTGTTGCTTCGCGCAGAGGCGTCGTCATCCATAGACGCTCGTTCTTTGCTATTGGTGCCGCTTTTCTTCTTTGATTTGGACCCCATGCTTCCATCAGAGTCTGCACCTGATTCATCAGACAAAACCACTGGTGCGAGCCTACTTTTTCCTTTGGTTGGCTTCTGAGAACCTGTCTTCTTGTGTGCCTGGAGTTTTCGACGCTTCTGTGAAGACTGACTCCCAGTATCATTGGATTGCAGCATTTTGTTCCGTTTATAAGAAGCAGAGTCAGAAGCATCATCTGATCCGCCGGCTGCAGATTGTTTTCCATCATCTTCTGACTGGGTGGAGTTTTTCGTGTGGGTGCCTATTTTCTGCTCTTGGGCATCCTTTTCACCTTTTGTATCTTTATCAGTAGATGAAGGTCTGTTTTCCTCATCATCAGAATCTTTTGGGTCCACAACCATAGGCTCAGGCTGTGATTCACTGTCTTTTTTGTCGCTTCCCTTGGAGTCTTCCTTGTCTTTTGACAGACGATCAGTCACATCTGCAGCTTGTGAAGACTTTTCATTTTGAATGCTTTTGCTGCCAGGATTACCATCAATCTCTTCTCCTGATCCAGGTAGATTGGAGGTGCCCCTTTGGTTGTCTGTGGGGCTATCCACAGGTGACTCATCAGATACTGCTGCAATGAGACCATTTTTGTCCTTTGATGCGATAACGCCATCTTTGTCTGCTCTCTTCTCTTTGTTGGTGTTGGCAATGGTATCATCAGGATCATCAGACCTTGCATCAAAGAACTCATCCTTTTCTTCTGCATCTGTGGTGGGTTTGTTGGTGTCTTTTGCATTGTTGGGTTGAGTAGAGACCTTCTTTTTGCCTGATTGAACTGAGTCCTTGGTTTCTTTAGGCTCTTCTGGACCCATGTTTCCCTTGCCCTTTGACTTTGTTGAGGCCTTGTTGTGGCCAGAAGAACCATTGCTGCCTTCACTCATCAAGGCTTCTTGTTCCTTGTCCTTGTCCATCTCATTTTCCTTAGAGTTATCTTTGGCATTTGCTTCAACCTCTGTTCCCTTGTCTTTTTCTCCATTCTTCATTGAAACATCCTTCTTCTTCCCCTCTTTTTCTTTCAGGGTGGTGGCAGTGGCATCAGAGGAAGCATTTGGAGGGTCACCTTCTTTGTTCTTTTTCTCTTCATTTGCTTTTTCTTTCTCCCCTGATTTCACAGCTGAAGAGCTAGTCTTTTCGGAAGTTACCTCGACCTCTTTTGGTGGGTTAGCATCCTTGTCGCCATTGTTGTTCGCGGATTTCGCGGCGGTTCCTTCTGGAGGCTTTTTCTTTTTGGGAGAGGCACCCTTGACAGGCGAGGAGTCATCGACGGTGGACTCGTCATCCTCATCGTAGGTCCATACAACACCCTTTTTCTTTGGAGACTTGCGTGGGCTTGATTTGGAAGAACTCCCTTTTGAATCTTTTGCTGGACCCATGATAATATCGATTCAATGGGTGAAAAGGGAAGGGGGCTTCAGTCAATCACCCACGTGAACTCTTTCAGCCTTTCTCTTGGCTCTCACTCCCTCACCTACACTAGCTTGTTTTGAAACCAACCACAATGATCCGACGTGAGGATACTTGAATGATTGCAGTCAACACTAAGACAGCAACGACGATAGCAACAACAGCGAGGGCTACTGGTATGATACATACCTTCGGAGGGATTTGTTGTATCAGCGTTGCAGTACCTTTGCGGTTTCACTTCGGGCTCCTCCAATGACGCAGGCCCGTTCCCCCCTGCCTGGCTGGATTTTGCCTCACAGGAAATCATGCAGATCCAGTATTTATCTTCCGTGCTCGGCTTGCTCGAATTTACCTGCCAGTGTCTGCCCTTCCGTCCTCAACATTGGATTTGGGTGGCCGCTAAGCCAAACCTCCAGCTGCGGGTGAAGATGGGTTGATCAAAAGCCAACAACAAACTAAGCAATGGGTTGCAAGCGATGGGGAAGTGTCGGTGTGCAGAGCTATGCAAACATGATGCAGCGTTTGAATTTTGTATCAATTTTTGGGCTGCTTAGAAGAAATTCTTGGCTGTCTAGGTCTGAATTGATGAATTAATCCACCCATGAATAGAATAGATTCTCCTTTTGATTTTACAGGTTACTGTGAAAGGATTGCATCGGCGCATTTTGTTCCTTGTTTACTCCCCGGAAACCTCTGAACAAAAAGTAAACATGAGTTTTTGGGTTGGCTTGGCTTACCTTGCTTAAGCCTTTTGACAAAGTAGATTGACTTCTCTGAGACAGCTCAGTGAGCAGCTAAAGCAGCCAAAATGAATACAGGTACAATACATGTAGCAAATCCTCTGCTTGCACTGCAGCTCGGGCACATCCAACCCTCGTAAGCAATTTGTAAACTACCGGTCCGTGAAGCTTTGTGTGGTCTGGCAAGTTGATCTGATCCCTAACCCAAACTCACTTATGAAACTTAAACAGCTTTGTTTTCATCATGCAATTGTGTTTTCAACGCCAAGATTTATTGGATTCCTCTTGGGTTCTTCGTAATCTTCGGCTACTCACAGATTGAAGATTCGACGCGTACAGTACCAGTACGTGAACTGCATAACTGCATGCCAACGCTCAGCAGCTACATGTACTTCTGGACTAGCCAGCTACGGTAGAAGGCAGTTTGCTCTGCAAAGGCAAAACCTTTAACGAACGATACCACCTACAGAAGCAGTTGCCACTTTCTCTTGTTGTTCTACCGTTTCTCCAATTGTCCCACATTTGATTTTTTTGTTGGTTTTGCTGACTGTTTGGTCCAATCCAAAGCGGACGACTGTCTCCATGAATTCTCATCTTACAAGCAATTTTTTGAGAACGTTGTTGACTACCATACCATTCACACAATTGACTGTGAGAAAGACAACTAGTCTGAGGTACGGTAGTAGAGGTTTGCTGCCGTTCTTTTGAGAAGCTATCCATTGGTGTACTGGAAAAGCTCGTTGAAAGCATTGTCCACCTAGCTGGTTGAGTTTGCTGTTTTATGCAATGCTCCAAAGCTACCGGTACGTAAGATGCACCCCTGGTGCTTGGGCCGTGTCTACTTGCATTGCCCCCCTGGAGGGCCGTCGTAATAGTTCAAGCTTGGTAAGATTGGCTAGTACCGTACGGTAGAAAATCACATGATTACAGCGCAACGTTGGTCATCCCTTACATCAAGGGTTCTGCTAAACTTCTTCATTTCTGCCGGTAGTGGTACTGGTAGGTGTGATAGAGCACAGCTGCAATGCCTTCATCAGAATGGAGGAACGAAACTCCGCCTTGGATGCAAGTTAATTAACCCTACGAATCAGCCGAGGGATACATACATTGTCTTTCCTTCTCACGGGCAGCTCGATCGCGCCTCGATCTGGTCGACGAGAAGCGTTGAGAGCGATCAATGCATGTTCTTTGAAAGGCTGTCACTCACTCTGGCTCAGTTTGTGTTGTCTGTGAAGTGTTTACCGTAGTTAGGTGGTTGTCTGCTGCTCCAAAGTGCTGTTGTGGCCTTGTCTAGTAGCTAGCTAGCAAGCTCCTGCGTTTGTACTGTAGCGGAACCATGGCGACCACAGCGACCAACGCTGTGACAAGCACTCCCGTGCGTGGCAGCACCACAGGCAAAAGGGGCGGGATGACTCCCAGTTATGTATGGGTCAAAATGGCCAAGAACAACTCGACGAGTCATCAGGCCGAGTTGTTGGAGATTTTGCCGGATGGGTATTTGGTTCGTTGGACCATTTCCAACCGAGAACAGAAAATCAGTTTGTCTTGTGTTTTGGAACAGGACATGTTGGGACGACGTCGCACACGGGGACGCAATCATCATCGTCTGGGAGGTTTGTCATCGGCGGAAGAAGAGGACAATAATGAGGAGGAGGATGAAAGTAGTGAGAAGGAAGAGGAGACCAAAGAAAACTCTTCTGAAATCCAAAAGTCCTTGTTCGTTTCTGAGGAAGCTCTGGTCAAGCCATCATCGGCAAAGAAACAGAAAAGCAGAAAGCGTCGTCGAGACACCAAAAAAGGAGGAAAGAGATCCAAATCCAGCAAAAAGACAAAACCGAGTCCAGGGAGAAAACCCATGCATTCGGAATTGGAAGAAGAAAATGATCAATCCGACGAAAGCGACGACAACCGACAAGTGCATGTCACTCATCAACCTCTACTGCGACCAGTACCCGTCCCACCATCACCATCTCTCTTTGTGTCCTTGTTCGAAATACACAACATTGTCAAGTCCAAAGCAGTGGCACGAGTCGCGCAGTTGCTGCAAACAGAGGGATTTCCCGATGCGGCGGACTTTTGTACGGAATTCTTTCTCTTTGCTCACGAGCGACAATCTTGTTGGCAGCGACGCAACAATGACGCCAATCCACAATGGTCCAAATCGCCCATTCTACAAAACTACAGTTTCGCCAATGTATATCGAGCGCTAGATCGAGGGACATGTTTTGCTCGCTATCAATTTGGAGAACAGTACTTGCTACTCTGCAAGAATCAACAACTCTTGGAACAGCAACAAAAGAATAAAAAGAATCGACAGAACACCGGTGTGAATGATTTCAGCAGCCTCAATCACGCGATTGCTGCTTCCATGGAGGTTGTGGAAACTAATACGACGACAGGCGACAGCAACAACAATAGCGGCACGCACTCTCGTCGTCCCTGTACCAAGCTACAAAAGTCGGTGCGCCGCAAGGACTGGATTCCCAAGCTGCTCTGGGCTTCCTATTGCTATCGGCAGGTCAATCGAATAGAACCGTTCCTCGACTTTGGAGGGATTCCGGATATCCCCAAATGTCCAACGGATCTCACTCGATTTCTCGATCATGTCAATCAGATGGAGCTACAACAAGAGGAAGAATCGGAAACAATCTTTTTTGCTCCGGCCAACTCGGGGACGCCATCCTTGTTGTCCTACGACGACTACCGAATACATCTCCAACGGTTGACCGTCTCCAGTGGATGGGTCCTCAAAAAAGCAGGCGAAGAATTGGCCAAATGCAAAAGTCTACATTCCTGTTGGGATGAACTCTTGAAACGAATGCCCGGCATGGAAGCATCTCCGGATATTGCATGGCTGGTGCTGTGCGATCTGTTAGAAGCGGGGTGTTTGCAGGTATCGTCCACTACTGACGCTGAGCGGGCCATGGACCTGTGTTATCTATCACCAGAGTCGTTGGGTAAGTCGTTCCGTCAGACGAACGAATGAATCGTATCATATCATATATCAATCCAGGAAGTGTTTGCCATCTGACCTTTATTGAATGAATGTTTGCGTTTGTGCATGTAGAACTATTGTCGGCATCGTGCTGGAAAACCAGTACCGATGACGAGACTCGGGCATTTGACTTGTTGAAGTTGCTGACGGAAAAACAGGATGATTTCTTTGCGGCCGTGGGTGTCAAATTCCCTACGTGGAATGGTCGCCGTTTGGCTCTCAAGGATCTTGCCCATTGTTTGAGTCAGTTTAGCAAGTACCTGCAGATTCAGAGTGACATGCGTAGTCGGTGCGTTCCTTGCTTCCTTCGTGGCCTTACACGATGTCTGTGCTCGCCAGCCAGCTCATGTGTTCCTTCCTTTCTTCGCACTGATCAATTATTTTTTATTTTCATTCATTCATTTTGCAATCCATCGCTCCAATCACAGAGTTCATTCTCCGTCGCATCGACTTTTGGTCTCTCGATCACACCTTGACGTGAGCAAGACTTGTCGCTTTTGCGATACGGAATCCGACGATGGTCTCTTTTGTGATTCATGTTTGTGCTATTATTGCAGAGACTGTGAAGCCGAGAGCTGCAAGGCGGCTCCAGAGTATTGGATGTGTCGACCCTGTCGCGCCATGGACCAAATGCATTTGACAGATTGATTGGAGAGATACCGTATCATCCGAAAATATCGGAGCTGTTGTACGGTAGTCTTTGCCTATCTACTGGGAGAATTCGGCAGGGCAACGCACTCTTGCAGTGGCTGCTGGCTACATGTAGTTTGCTGGTTTGCCTGTCGTGCAGCGGAGGAGTTCTCGTCTCCCTTTGGTGCGCGCTGATCTAGCTAGCTAGAGCTACATTAGCCACATCGGCAACGTGAGGTCCGTTCTCTTGAAAGCGATTTTCTTTAATAATATCTATTCTTCTATTAGGCCACACCCCGCCGACCTTGCTGTGGTTTTCGATTATCATTCCGCCGCTTCGAAACACAGACACAATAAATCAGTAATTTATGCAGCACATGGTGTTCCTCCGTTGCTGACACGGCGCTTCATCTTTTGGCGTGGGGTTTCACTGCCTGCTGGCCACAAGGGCATGGCACTTCCTCCTGTAGTACTCTTGACATAGGGCATGGACTTGTGGCGAACAATGGTGCTGCGGCGACCGGCAGGATCGTTCGAGTTGCCGCTTCCTTGGCTACTGCCGCTCACTGACTCTTCCACCGTGGACACGGAGGACATGGACATGCGGCGCATCGAAGTTGGACGAGAAGAGACAACACGACGAGGAGACTGCTGTTGCTGCTGTTCTTGTTGTTGTCCCATATAATTATCCATGGAAGCGCGACGACGAGTGACCCTGGGCAAGGGCTGCATACCAACCTTCTGCCCCACCTTCATCCCAAGATGTTCTCTGGTAAGGCCGATCGAATCGTTGCAATCGCTCTGCACAGTCCAGTCGTCTTCATCAGGGATCACGTACTGGGAACGACCGCGACGAGGAGCGGGCGCAGAGCCCTGTCCACGAGACGAATCACTGCAGCTGTAGTCATCATCGTAGTCGCCATACCCCAAATCGTCGTGGCTCAAGGTGAGATGAGCCAATCGCAACTTGGCGAGGTTCATCGAGTCGGCTGCATACGATTCTACTTCCCAGGAATCGTCGCTTTCGCCACGAGGAAGTGTGTCCATCCCCGTGATCTGAAAGCGGTTCAACTCTTCGTTCAGCCCCTGCATGCCTTCTTCCTCGTCGCAGCGAGAGGTGACGCTCACATCGTCAAATGGTTGGGTTTCCATGGTGTATGACATTTTATCTTTATCGTTTGTTCCGTTGTAGTGGTGCTCTTTTAAAATCAATTAGTTGTGATTGCTTTGTTTGTTTTAGTGGGATTATGTGCTTCTCACGAATGTTGTCGCTTGATCCTGGTAGGTTTGCCTGCGCTGTTTGTGGAAGAGTGCAGCTTGTCTGCGGAGTTGCTCCACCGTGCTTCCTTGCTGCTTGCTGCTTGCGGCTTGCTGAGAGTTGGTTCTTTTCGTTTTGATGATCTCGTTGCTTCTTTGGCTCCTTCAAGAATCAAATTCGCTTTTTGTTTTTGGGTGGACGAAGAGGGACCAATTCATTTAACCATGCAAATTTCCTTTAATCCCTATTTCGTCGAGTCAGGCATCATTGTGTCAGAAGGAAGCACAAGTATTTATGAAGAGCACTGATACTAAAGGTCATGAAGACTCCACGATCAGATAATATTTAAGTTATAGACTCTACGACCTTCACGCAAGTCATCCTAGGTTGGTCGTACAAGTAAAAATGTTCCACTACGGTACCGGTACCGGTATGCAGCTGGCTGTGCTCGGTGCTCGGTGCTCACTCAGGTGCTGGTTGCCTGCCACGCCAGAGCAGAGCAGACGAAGATTTTACAGGACCGTCCGACTGTTTTCACTCAGGCATTAAAACTGCCACGACTGGTTCTCATTCTAAGGGCATTTTTTTTAATTAAAAAAGGGCATGTTTGTATAAGGGCATGTTTAAGGGCATGTTGTAGATTTAAGGGCATGTTTTAAGGGCATGTTTATTTAACAACATGTTTTAACGGCATGTTGAAGATTTAAAGGCATGTTTTAAACCGTCCTCAGTGGTGGAAATTTCAAGTTTTGATAAATCCTGAGTGAAAACCGTCGGACGGTCCTGCAGTCCTCTCGCCCGTTACTTGGGACACGGTGGACGGGTCCGTGACGACGATTGGCACGAAGAGCAGTGTCTGTCCTGCAATGATTGGTTTGGAAAGTATTGTCCGGCTAGTAATAGCTAGCTAGTCAGGTCTGTGGAACTCTTCGAATGTATCGGATGGTGTTTGGCGATTGCAGTTGTTGCTAAAGTACCCGATACTCTGTAGCTTCGAGCGTTTTCGGCTTTAGCTGGTGCTAGGTTAGATGGTGTTTCGGATGCATGTGTGATTGGATTGTTTCGACAACGTCCGCTGAAGGAGCAGTAGACTAGCTAGACTAGTCATTTTTGTTTTTGTCGCATCGTAAAAGATAGCTACACCCCGTACTGAGTACGGAGTAGCTTTGTAGCTTGCTGCCAAGAAGAATAGGAAGTTTCGAGTTGTCGCCCTCACCTGTTTGTCAAGGATGTCATGATGCCGAATACCTAGTGGAGTGCTTATACCTTCCGGTAGCTAGAGGGGTCATTGGCCGTTTGTTGTAGTTATACAGTGCCCTTGAACATTGGCTTTGGCATTTCATCTTCTGGAAGCATTCCATTCAGTGAGCCAGCAATTTGGGCTTACCGGCGTTCTGCTTGAAAGTTGAAAGTACGCAGAGCTTAGAAGGTGACAAAACTGGTCTTGGCACCATCTTGATGTCATGTCCATTCATAAAGACTTGCTGAAGGACACGAGCGACAATCAGCTTCCTTTCTTGGCTGCAGACTCTTGGCTCTTTTTGATGTCATCAGCTTCTTGTGGCTTGCCTGGGTGTGTTGCCTTGATGGCTTCGCAAAATGTAGGGAGGAAGAACGATAAGGCAACCCTCTTCTGTTCCTTGCTTGAAGCTTCCCTTCTTTTGTTTGGCTGTAGATGCTTCTCTTCAATAGTATTTGAAGTTGGAGGTGGAGATGGGTTGTTGCAGTGTTGCAGTAGTCTACCGTAGCTACCTAGTAATAAAAGGCAGAGCAAGGAAGTGCCGCCAAGTTAGACTGGTAGGAGCAGCTCTTATCAATAGCTGGATCAAGGCCGTTGACAAAACGAGCAGCGACAATCAATGCTGACAAGACTGGTATGATCATGCTGCTACCGGTATGTCGAGAGGCCGGACCGAGCTTACTTTGTCCTACTAAAAACTACAAGGGGCTAGGCACATCGTACCGGTACCTGGTACCGTAGAGATCTGGCATTTATTGAAGGCGGGGTATCATAGCGCAGACCACCCCTTCCTCGGTAGAATACCAAACCAAGGGTCGATCCAATCCTCGCACCTACTACATACCGTTAGCTATAATAGCTGGTACATGTAGAGAGGAAGGGCGACCAATTGCAGGAGAAACTCATTGGTCATCTTCGACTCAACTGCTCCTCATTCTCAACTATTAATAGACCACCGGTACCCGTACCGTACCTATGGTTAAGTGGTGTCATCCAAAAAAAATTGTTGCTCTTTCTTTGCTGGGATGGCTTCCTTTGACTGTCAGGACCACACTACAGTAGGTGGATTAGATGGTTCACCAACTACAAATACCCATTCCAGCATCGCCAAGTGGTCAGTTCAGGTGATCATTTCTATTATCATTTTAGATCTTTTTGCAAAAAGTGAGGCTCGCCCGGCGATTTCAGTGCTGGAAGCGGCAGTTTCTTTCTGAATTGGGATTGAAAGGCAAACCGTTTCTCTAAGTCACACATTCTAATCACACTTTTCGCGAAACAAGCCTGTCAATCTGCGAAACATTGTTAGTTTAAAGTAAATAACACAATAAATCCCTGTCAATCGCTCAAGCCCTGTTTGACCACTGTAAAGGGATGCTTTCCGTCACAAGCAGTCCACCATGCAACTGGTGAGACGGTGAGAGAGTCGGTGAGAGAGTCAGTCGCTCGCCGAAGCAAGATGCCGTCCCGGAAAGACAAAGATTGCATTGATCCCTCACAAATTCCACGAAGATCCGGTCGTCGCACGTTTCCCATCAACATGCAGTTCCCACAGAGCGCACAGACTCAATATGAAGACCACCAACCACACTCAACAAACACAAGCCATCACCATGCCCTGTTGCATGCCTTGCAACATTCACTCCTACACCTCATCAGCAAGCTAGGAATCCAAAAATGGCAACAGTTGAAAGGGAGTTAGAAATAAGACCAATAAAAGCAGTTCAAACAGCAACACAAAAGCTCACTTTTCCATCCTCTTCCTCTGGAATGAAATTCGCATCATCAATCTCGTCCCCATTGTCGTCAAACTGAACCTCGTCTTGATCAACCAACAAGTCAATAACGTTGCCGTCCTTGTCAAGCTCAAAGCCAAAGAGATTGCCCGTCTCCAGTCGAGCCGCCACATCCTCCGCACTCTCCTCTTGAAGAACCGCATAACCACCACCAAGATGCGGAATTGCATCGGCATGCCACCACTGGTACTTCATCGTCAGAATATCATCCACAATATTGCGGTAGCGAGCACCACCGCGACGTTCCACGAATGTACCGTCCTTCACCATTGCCGCCTTATTCTCTTGCGCTCGAATACCCTTCTGGTCGCCAAGGCCTTGGACGACAGCGCCTCGAGCCAGGTGAATCGCCATCATCGAGTCTTCGAATCGATCCATATCCTGGACGATGCGTTCGCTGGGCGGTGCGCCTTGGAGGACACGATGGTACGCTTCCTGCCCACGCTTTGGTGTCGAGATGGTGAACTTGGTTGGGTCGTCATCGTCCAAATGGCTCGTAATGATGATATGACGATTGACTGAATCATTCACGTCCTTGTTGAGAGACGTATCCAAGCGTTGGCCTCTGGACTGTTGCCTGACGGGAACTTGTCGAGACGATTGCTGGTGAGGTTCAATCCAACAGGAAGAAGCCAGTGCGCAAGGTAGCCGTGTTCTCCATCCACTCGTAGCATTCTTTGGACGTCATCTGGGACAGCGCATCGTGATAGAAATACCAGCCGTGAAAGTTAGGTCGGTGCTTGCGAAAGAAGCGCTTGGATTCCTTGTACATGTGCTTGACGACCTCTGTGACACATCCCGTCGAATTCAGAGTAGTGGATCATTGAATGAAGTCTCGCCAATCCTCACCATAACGGGACTTGTAGGGATTTGCACGCTTGCGGTAGTCAGTTGTGTGTGGGACCACATTCGAAGCCTTCCGACATGCGGCACGCCAACCTTTGAGAGTCTTGAGATTTCTCGCAACAAACGGGATCATAAAGGTACCACCACCTTCGTCCACCATGCGTAATCTTCCGTCATGTCCCGCGGCTCGAAGGTTTCGGCTTCTGCAAAGTCACGAACAGTGAAGATGCCGTGTTCGTTGAGCTTTCGATCTTTGCCTTTCCACAGTATGGAATCATTCCTTTTACGAGGTTGTCCGACATGTAGAGTTTCCCCACTTCCCGTGTCGTAGCCAACCAACCTTGCGTCTTGGCTGGACCATCCCGCATCTTCTTGATCCGGACAATCTCAATTTTGACAAGCTCGCGGTATTTCTTCAAGGAGATGATGTTCCTGCTAGTGTAATCAAACGGATCCAACACCCATCCCTCCTTGCGTTCGACAACACCATCAGCGTTGCGGTAAGAGACCATGGCACAGCCAAGTCCAAGGCGGACCTCATCCTCGTACTTGACGTTCAAGCAGTAAGCAGGAACAGCATGATTGTAGCTTCCGTTGGGATCTGGTTGCCCCTCGTCGTTTCTTGCGAACTGGACAACAGTTTTCCGACCAGCCTGCGCATGAACCGACCCAATCTTGCACTTGCGGTGCATCTCATCCCAGACGGCACAATCTTCGACTTGAAAATCCCATCCTGCGGCTTTGAGTTTCTCAATATCAAAGCAGGGCGGAAGTGGAAACTCATAGCCAGAACCGGACGCACGAGAGGAATCGTCAGGCTGTTGTTCCGAACTGAACTCGCACTGCCTTCGTCGTTCGCAATGACTTCATCAGGAGGTGGAGTCGGAGGCTGTTGACTGGAAATCGAGCTGGAAGAATCAGCCTTGTAAGAGGAACAGACGATTCGTCACTGATCCAGCCCTCCAAGCCCAACACAACTGTCGCTGAGGTAGTTCCTCCGGAGGATCCGTCAGCGCAGCCTCACGAAGCCGGTCAGGAACATCAACATCATGTCCCATGCGAAGCAAGAGCTGTGTAGCCCAACCATGACGACGAAGTGCCCAAGGGGAGTTGACATCCCTGTTGCCTTGCTTCCGCTTGCGAATTGGCACCACCCTGTGCTTGAGTCGTTTCTTCAAGCCATCGACGGCAGACCTGAATAAGGGACCAAGCCTCTTTCAATTCGAAGACGATTCAGGTGTTGCATCGCCATTGTCACGCTCATGCTCTTCCGTTCAATGCAGTTGGCAATGAAGACGGCATCAAACGAGTCGTTTGGGATGATGACTGGCTTGAGTCCAGCATGAACCCGCTGGCCTGTGTAGACAATGTGTTGCTCGCAGCAGTGATGCAAGTCTGTGAAGACGTCAACATACTTGGTCCGGTTGCTTTCTTCGTACAAGTCTCTGCGGATCTTGACTTGCGTGCCGTTGATGCCAATCCATGGAGTGTCTTTCGTGTCCTCATGGAATGCATACTTGTAAGCATAAAGATATGCAATAGCCATCTTCTTCGCTCTCTCCTCTGGCAATATCTGCGCCAAAGCAGCCTTGACCTTCTGCTCATCGGGAATGTAATCCATATCATCGTCAGGATCAGGCTCCGAGTCTTCTTCCATTGAGTCTTCGTCAGGCTTGAGGCGATCCGCCAAGGACCGGAGGGGCTCCTCCTCATCCGAGGAAAGATCTGCAAGACGAGCATGATGAGAACGACGGGTTGGACTCATTCCCAAAGCTTCAGCCACGTCACTCGCACGCTTGACACGCCTTGCTATTGCTTCCTCAGGAGTTGCAAGAGTAACAGTCTTTTGGGCTTTCTTTCGAGCCAACTCAGAGGCAGAGTAGTTCTTTCGCCCTTTCCTTTGGTTGAGTGTGCCACTGTGGCGGCGGTTCTTCTTGTTCTTGCGTTTGGAGGGAGCCATGGTGGTGGTTGAAGCTGCAGTTTTGCGCCAGATAACAGCGAGGAGGACCGGAGCTCAACGACGGACGACTGGACTCGACAGCAGCGGATCGGAAGCCTTGTAAGATGACGTGACAGCACAAGCCGAGTGAAGAAGAAGAATCCCAATCCCAATGAAACGACGGCAGACCGAACGGCCAATCCCCATGGTCGGTCCAAAAGGAAGAAAGATAATGAAGAAGATCCACCATTTCGATCCTGCAGAGTTTCCCTTGTAATCGTCGATAGTCAAAATTTATGAGATGCCATCTGAATAATGAATAATGAAGAAGCCTCCGACTGATCGATTCGGATGGGATCTTCTGCCGTTGAATCCGACGCGAGTTTGAGCTCACTCAAGCAATCAACATGGTCGCTAAACCCGATGCCCATGGTTCCAAATATCGATCCCATCTCACAAAGAGGCATTACATCATTGTCGAAACTTCATTCGGAGGTTACTCGGAAGGAAAGGTCAATCGTACGTGTGTTGTGAGAGGAGTGGCATGTTCTCACGGAACGAAAGGATGGGCTCAACAGTGATAAACATGATCGAAAAGAGACACCCATGGTGGGATGCGATTGATTTTGGGTGCAACGGCTAAATCCAAACTGTGAAAGAGGTTCTGTGACTGGAGAGCCGGCCATCTAGTTTAAAACTAACCTCACTTTTTCAGCCTCACATTTTCGAAATCCGTGGGAAACAGAGGCAAATCGCTCATTTCAACACTGGGGAGGCCTTGTTCATGACCAGAAAGTGCCCAACCCGTGGAAAATCATATTCGCTCCCTTACTTTATATATAGAGGCATGGGAGCACACATGATTTTTCCCATTTTGACCATGCTCTCGAGGAGCTAGAGGCCTCCCCAATTTGGATTCCGTGATGAAGCCATTGGTACGGTACATCGAACTCGTTGTTGGTATGATAAAGCCAAAGCCGAGAAAGGTGGCCAGCAATTATGAAACGACAAGCTCAAGAGACCATACGTGCATCGGTAGCTTGTTTCCAGGATCATGTCGCCCTTCTCTCGGGATTCCACCTAGCTGGGGCTTAACGTCTCTGCTATGTGACCAATCCGCTCTCACATTTCTGCGATAAACGACCATACCAAAACCGATGATTTTGAATTTGGATGCCCCACCCTCGCAGGAATGTGACCAAGCCATCATCCTCAACCGCCAATGTATCGCAGTACTGTACAGTATTACGCTATTAGCACTGCAGCCAATTGTAGTCCACCCGGTCACGGATCTCTAGCAATCCTGCCAACTCAGGCAGCCAACCAACACCAACAGTCCTTTCCAGTGCAACAGAGCCCATGACATTGCCCCGATAAACGACGAGAGACAGAACACAAATTAGTTTACCACTGTAGTCTACAACGACAACCAGCACAGATCTGTTCGATCAGGCCAGATGAAGAATAGAGAGAAGAATGGCAAGGGGAAGAGCAAGAAGAATGGCTCGAAAGATGAGTCACTAGTATCCACGGAAATGGCCAGTATTCCCGAGACCATCAGCTTTGTCTTTAACTGTGGTTTCGGAAACAAGGTGCTGTTTGCCATTGGTTCCTTTGCAGCTCTCTTAAATGGACTCGTAGGTCCCATGCTGGCTGTTCTTTTCTCAGTGGCACTGGCGCGGGGAAGCAACATCAACTTTGAAGATGTTGCCTTTGACGATATTCAACGAGTCTGCCAAGGCTTGCTGTTGGTTGGTGTTTGGGCCTTTGTCATGACCTTTATTCAGACAGTCTGCTTTGAGATTGTTGCCTTTCGAGCGTCTCAATCCTTGAACCTTCAGTGGTTTGCTGCACTCTTGCGTCAAGATGCTGCCTTTTTCGATATCTACGACGTCCCAGGAATTGCCACCCAGGTACAGCCAACTTGTTACCAATACCGAAGAGGTATGGGATCCAAATTTGGAGAAGGTATTCAGTACGCAACTACCGTAGTGGGTGGAGTTGGATTCGCCTTTGTGGCCAGTTGGAAAATTTCCGTACTAGTGTTGGCCATTCTGCCCGTTTGCATTGGTTGTGGCGTCTACGCCATACACCTGAGTCAAACCAAGACGTCCAGAGCCAACGAATCATATCAAAAAGCTGGAGCAATCGCATACAAAACCATTTCTTCCATCAAAACCATTCTGGCATTTAATGCTGTGCCCCAAATGGTATTAGAGTACCGAAAAGCTACCAAAGAGGCATCCAAAGTCGCCACAAAATTTTTGTTTCAGTATGGGGCAGTCACTGGTCAGTATCTGCATTATCGTCTTATCTTTGCTTGCCTCAGATAATATTGTATCCTTACCCAAGAGCATCTCGTGATATTCCATTATATTACATTCCCGTACGCCCTTATGCCATCCCGCAGGACTTCTCATTGCGTCGTATACCGCAATGTTTGTAGCAGTGAGCGTGTACGGGTCCCACCTTTTGTACACTGACATTGAACGATACGGATGTGATCCCACGGCGGGAATGTTCACTGAAGAGGCATGTGGCACCACGGGAGCCAGTATTCTTGGCGCCTTTTTAGGTTTCTTGTTTGCTGCCGAGGGAATTTCGCAAGTGGCGACCTTTGTGGAAGCCCTGGCCGAAGCTCGAGTGGCAGCCTTCACGGCGCTACAAGCCATCAAACGAAAAAAGGGTGCGCCGCCACAAATTTTCTATCACAACGATGAATGGAAAAAGAAGGCACAAAAAGATGGAGGAGTGTCGGATACCGAAAGCGAAACTGTCACCACAAACAGGCAACAACAACAACAACCCCCACGGAATCGTTGGAATTCCTCTGAGGACGAAGACGAAGAAGTTAGCTTGGAGTTTCGGGGAACTCTTGGTAGCAACATTGATTGCGCTCAACTCTTGTGCTGTCGTCGCAGTGACGATAGCACTGTGGGCAGAACAGGTAGCAACGAAGTTGGAAGAATCCTCACGGGGCCTCTCGACGGAAAGGGCGTCAAGGCTATACTTCCACGATTTGAGATTGATGCTTCCGAATTGGAGGGAGGACAACAGCCAAGTGAAGTACGAGGAGAGATATCCTTTCAAAACGTGCATTTCAACTATCCCCGGAGGCCTGCCGACCAAGCGCTTCGCGACTTTTCCATCGACATTAAAGCCGGATCTACAATTGCTTTCGTTGGGCCCAGGTGCGTTGCAATGTAGATTCGATTCGATGCAGTTGTTTGCGCACATGATTCGTTTCTCAGCTTTGCCATGTCTGTGTTTGTTGCCTTTCTGTTGTGGAATCTCAGTGGCAGCGGCAAGTCGACTATCGTTTCCTTGATTGAACGGTTTTATGACCCTTCTTCAGGAGTAGTCAAGCTGGACGGGATCAACTTGAGGGATCTCAACGTGTGCTACTTGAGAAGCCTCATTGGCTATGTTGGGCAAGAGCCAATTCTATTTGCAACCACCATACGGGAGAACATTGGATATGGCAATCCCAATGCCACCACGGAAATGATAGTGGAGGCGGCAAAACAAGCCAATGCACACGATTTTATCGAATCCTTCCCTGAAGGGTATGACACAAAAGTAGGAGATCAAGGTGAGATACAGCAGCAATACAAATACGATGAGAAACGCACCCAGTCAGTTGTGTGCTTAGTAATTCCGTGTAACTTTGCTTCTTGACTTCAGGATCTCAACTATCTGGTGGTCAAAAACAGCGGTACGTACGAGGGATTATATGGGGCTTGCAGCAATGGATACATGAAGGGGCTCATATATCTTGCTTCCGTGTGGGTCATTCAGGATTGCCATTGCCCGTGCTTTGGTATCCAACAACCGATCCATACTGCTATTGGATGAGGCGACTAGTGGTACGTAGTGCACCGGGCAACTTGCCGGTCTGTGAGAAGCAGATGTTTCAGTCAGCTCACCGAAAGCTTTGCTACCCATGTAGCCTTGGACAGCGAATCGGAATTGATAGTGCAGGAAGCCATCGACAATGTCCTAGCCCAAAAGAGGCTCACAACGGTAATTATAGCTCACAGGCTGTCTACTATTCGAAACGCGGATGTCATTGCAGTCGTCGTTGATGGAGGCATCGTGGAAACAGGAACACACGACCAGCTGATGGCAAAGCAGAACAGCTACTACCGCAAACTCATTGAAAAACAAGAGCTGAAACCGAAGAGGACTCAGTCAAGCTCAATATGTGCTTCAGTTGATGAAGTAGATGAAGGAACTCATACGACTGATACCGATAAAAACACTGACGACTTGGAATGTTATACCTGTTTGTCGAGGCTTGATGCCCCTCAGACACATGAAATGAGAACAACCTCTACGCTGTCAAGAACTGATGTAGAGGTTGTCTACTACCCAAAATTTGTTCCTGATGCGGACATACCTCACGTCAAATTTGAGAACGTGTGCTTTTCTTATCCAAGCAGAAAGTCGAAGCGTATCTTCAATGGCTTCAATTTGTCCATCAAATGCGGGGAGACCGTGGCACTTGTAGGCCCAAGGTAGGTGACAATCTAGAGTTTCCCTGTACGACCAAATTGCACTCCCCACCCTCAATCAAAACTTCGTGCTTGTCTTGCGATACCTACCATAGTGGCGGCGGGAAGTCAACGACTGCGGCTTTGATGGAAAGGTTCTACGATCCCACTCGAGGTGTCCTGGAGTACATGGGCTATGACGTACGTTGGCTGAACCTGCAATGGTATCGGGACCAAATCGGTAAGTCGAATGGCTGCTGCAGTTCCTGCTCTTGACATCCACTGACTGATCCGTCGCAAATTGTTGCAGGCCTTGTCAGTCAAGAACCAAATCTTCTCAACGACACCATAGCAAAAAACATCGCTTTTGGACTCAGGCATGCCACCAAGGAGATGATCATCGAAGCTGCCAAGCAGGCCAATGCACACAATTTCATACAGTCTTTCCCGGATGGCTACCTTACCATGGTTGGGAACAAAGGTTCGCAGCTGTCAGGCGGGCAAAAACAAAGGTTAGTGAAGGGAAAGTGATACTGTTGTTGCAGTGGGATACAGGTCTAAGATTCTGCCTTTTTTAAACAGGATTGCGATAGCTCGTGCACTTTTGAAGAAACCGAAACGTAAGAACACCCTGCCTTTGTTTGCGTGGATTGTATGATTCAAGGCCTTCTTACCCAGATTCCGCAAACCGCGTTTCGTGTATACGATAAATGAGCAGTGTTGATCCTCGATGAGGCAACGAGTGCCCTGGACAGTGAATCAGAGGCGATCGTACAGGCCGCTTTGGATCGACTGATGGCTTCTCGGGAGCACACCACGATTGTGATTGCGCACAGGTAAGCGAATCAATCTATAGATGTGTTTTTTGGCGTCTTCAGGGATCTCATATCGCTGGCTCTGTGCAGATTGTCAACCATTCGGAATGCCGATCGAATAGCGTACATTGCCGATGGAAAGGTTCAGGAAATTGGATCTCACAATGTATTGATGGAGATTCCTCACGGACGGTACCTTCGGTTAGTTGAATCACAAAAACGAAATTCTACAATGTTATCCCTCGGTGCTCTGGGAGTTATCGACAGTCATTCCACTCGCTTGAGTTCCCCTCCTTCATCTGACTCGTCTACATCGGGCTCAACTTCTGAGGCTTGCGAAGAAGAGCTGGTTTCGATCGGCACAACATTCTTCAACTCGCGACGAGTTTGGCGCGAGGCCACGAAGGATGTTGCCTACATCGTTGCAGGTTCTCTGGGGTCAATAGTGAGCGGGGCAATTTATCCAGCTTGGGGAATCATGTTTGCTCAAACGATCGACCTCCTCTTTCAAAGAGTTCTTGATTGCTCAAGTGACGACGAGGTTCCGGTGGAAGGCTTTGGGAGTTGTCAGGAGTACTGGACAAGTGAAGCCGAGAGAATGAAAACACAATCAATTCAGGTGGGGACGTCTTGGGGTCTTATCGTTGTGGCTTCTTTTGCTGGAGCGATTAGTTCCAAAGTCGGTTTCGGCACCGCGGCGGAGAGACTCAACAAGAACATTCGTGACACAACTTTCATTTCCCTGTGTCGACTTGAACCCGCCTTCTTTGATGGAAACTCGGTTGGTCGATTGATGTCTGTGTTGCAAGATGATACAACGAAGCTGTACGCCTTTGCGGGCGAACCCCTTAGAATGTTCTGGATCGGGATGTCATCGGTTGCCATTGGTGTTGCCTTGGCATTCATTGTACGTTTCAAAGCGACAGGTTGAGTGCAATGTGCGAGTTATCAATTTTCTTATTCATTCGCCTTTCTTGTTCCTCTAGTTCGTGTGGCCGGTAGCACTACTTTCTCTCGCATGCATTCCGGTGATGGGGTACGCCCTTTCCCTGAGGATGGGAAAAGTCACAGGAGTTGATCGCAGTAGAAGGGAGAGAGAAGATCTGGGGAGCCCAGCTGGAATCCTAGTGGAAACCCTACTGAACATCCGAACTGTGGCTGCCATGGGTCTCGAAGCGAGAAAGTTTGAGGAGTTCAGAAGAAGTTTGCTTGCGACGGCAGCCAACAACAAATGGGAGAGTATCAAGACATCAATCAGTCATGGATTGGCATATCTTTTACAGCACTGGGTCGACGCACTCTTGTTGTTCTTTGCAGGCTGGCTGCTTCATGCATACCCAACAAAGTTCACGTTTCTGGAGATGCTGAACTCAAATTTTGCGCTCTACTTTTCTCTCTTTGGATTGGGCATTGCTTTGAAAGAAGTCGCAGACAGAGATGAACTGAAGCTTGCAACATCTCGCGTTTTCTACCTTCAAGACCGTTCCAGTTTGCTGGATCCAATGAGTCTGTCAGGAACGAAACTGGACTAAAACACTTGATGCCGACGTTGGCTGCAAGCAAGCTGCCGCTTCACATGTACATAGAGATCTAACCATACCCACTAAGCTATGCTGTTCAACATGCCAACACATCGTGTGAGCTAGTTGCTACGGATAGCGCAGTAGATAGTTAGGACCAGCAAACAGTGCAATTATCTTTATAATTGTCAATACATCTCCTTAGTAGTCTCCGTCTTCGCTCGAAGACTCTCGCTCGGTGCGGCGTTGTCTCTGGGCGCGGAGGAGAGCTACCTGGTTTTCAAACTTAAGGAGATCCTCTTCAAGCTCGCCTATCATCTCAAACATGTCCGATAGGCCCGTCTCAACTGCAACGCCATTGTCATCGCCGGACCCTGGGTTTCCCTCGTCGTCTTCGTCAGGATCCAAGTTTGCCTTTTCAACACGAGACATTCCCCGTGTGCCTTCTATCGAGCGCCGTTCCACAGGGAGCTGCTTCCCCGCTCTTTCGTATCGCCGTGCAGCACTTTGCAGACAGACAGGCAGGTAAGACCGTTCCGCCTTTTGCTCGCCAGCATCTTTTGGTGACCAAAACAAGTTTCTCAACTCATCAGCGTTCATGCTATGAGAGAGCCTTTCAGCTAACACAGGATATGATTGTCGCGAAAGAACAGGTGCGGTGTCACCGCCACCCTCGACGCTGGAAAGGCTAGTATGCCACCGATCGTTGCAGACGTCTCTTGCTGCTTCCAAGTCGCTCATCGAGGCCCTCCGACGAATCCTGAGTGATGGATGATTGTCTCCCACGTCGTGGGGCTGTTGCATAGCAGAAGCCTCCGCTGGTGGTTCTGCATTATTTGCAGTGTCCAGACTACTAAGGCTGCCAGGCGGGGTTTGCACCCACCCGTTGTCGTTCGTTCTCAGAAACTCCATACTTCGAGAACTGTACGCAAGGGAAGATAGACTGCCCTCGCCGGCATTGACAACCTCTGAGTTCAATTCTTCCAAAGAGGATCCCGGCACCGCCTCTTCAGAAGACTCTGTGGTCTCTGGAGATCCGTCCTTGTCTTGTTCAAAGGAGTTGCTTCGTCGCGGGATTGCTGGGCCACGATCGACCTTCCCTTTTGGGTTTATCGCTTTCGCTGTTCTGGGCGAGAAAACCCGGTTGTTTTGACTCGCACAAGCTGGCACCAAGGGTTGCTCAGGGACATCATCGGCAGTTGTATTCACGAAAGCATCAAAGCCTTTGTCGGCCGAAGGACGGGGTTGTATGCTCTGTCCTACCGGTAGGCATCGTTCGTCGCCTTGACCAGATATCCTCGAAATGACATCAGACTGATGATCTTCAGCGATCGATTCTAGTTCGGGCAAATCTTGACTGCCGCTACTAGAGTCATCCTGGAAGATTCCGGTGCCTTCGTCATCAACACCACAGGCTGCAATCGGGGAGGCTGGTACATCTCGGGCAACGCCAACATTTCCCTCGCTTGCGACTAAGTTTGGCATACTAGATGCCAATCGTTCGAGAACGGTAGTTCCTTCTCGCACGTTCCAAAGGTGCGGCATACTGTTAGACAGGGGGCTACCATTTGGACTACCATCATGGAAAATGTCGACGGCATGCAGTCGCATTGCGTCGAAGCTTTCTCTCGCTGCTGGTCCATCAAGGGCATCCCCGTCAACACCCGTTTTCGCACCACTGGCAATCGCGTTCAGGCTTAAGAATGTGTCCTTTTTCAGAGCAAGCCCCTCCATCTTGAGCTCGGTCGCGGACTCGCATGGCTGCTCAACTCCAGCAGCGTTCTTACTGGACGCAGGTGTGCCTGCCTCGTGCGTTGGTCTCACGTCTGTGTTCATGACAGTGCCTGGGGCCGTACTCGCAGTCTCAGAAATAGTGGTTTGTGGTTGCGTTTCGTCTGAAGATTTGGTACTGTTGATCGAGCTGTCGTTGGAGCCTACTGAAAGGTAGTCTGACAATGCAGGAAGCGAACTATTGCTCTCACCATTCGGATTGCAAGATATTTCCGCCCCGCACCCCCCAGATTCTTCTGCCTTTCGTCGTGCCCCCTCTCCCGCAATCCCCCCCTCAAGGCGAAGCTGCGTCCCAATCAAAGCCTTGTTCCCATCGACCTCGTTTGGCGATGCGGGGCTTTCGATTGCATTACGAACCTGAGAGTCGTTTGGCGCCTCAGTTGCTGCCGAGGTGCCAGTGATTGAGTTTCGCAGTCTTTGTTCCGACCAGTTCGGGCTTCCCTTCTTCGAGTCCTGTCGAGGTTTGCTACTACTCTCAGCATTCTCCCTCTGTAGAGACTTCGACCCCTTGGCTTTCATTGCATCCTCTGTAGTCGTCCCTTCTGGAATTGTTCTTATGTTGGCTTTCACCTTCGGTGATTTCTTTACACGGGGTCGCGACGGCGATTCTTTCGTCTTTGATACACCCTTTTTGCTGGATGGGACGCCTTCCAAGGCGTCGACACGGGAGACTGACACGGCACCCAAATTGGTGGTATGTACTTTTGTTTCGGAGGGATCATGTGAGGACTGAGCCAGTCTTCCAGCAACACTTGACTCTGAACCTGACTTTGGTCGGCGAAGCCGCCGTCCGTTTGAGGTTGACGAGGATGATGATAGTTGCTCATCTTTCTTCCTTGACCTTCTCTTTTTCTTAGTCTCTGCTGACCTTGGCTCTCTGCTGGAGCTCGCACCTAGGCTTTTGCTGCTGGAGCCATCAAGGTTGGCTATGTCATCAACTGTAAGAGATTGCTCAGAAACGTCGTGCTCGAATATTGGCTTCCTTTGGGTCGGCGTATGCGGAGACTTTTTGCTGGTTCCCTTACCAATTCCTTGACCTTCAGGTTCACTGACAGCGAAAGAGCCACGGCGACGTTGAGTGTCTTCGGATGAATCGCATGTGGGTGCCTTCGACCCCTTCTTCTTTTCATTGCTACTTTTGTTCTTGCCATCGGCATCCAACAGAGATGTATACGATCCCCCTTGTCTCTTTCTCGACCTGGAACGAGATGATTGACGTTTCTCCCGTGACTTTTTGTCCCCTTTTGTGCTACGACTATGAGAAGATGTCGGAATCGAACCCTGAGTTTTGGAACCGTGAGGCGACGCCTTCTTTGCGCTTGTTTTCTGATGAGCTGATGACGACCGTCTATGCCTGACTTCAGTGGTGGAAGGAGGCCCCGTTGCTTCCTGTTTCCCCTTTGACCTTCTCCTTGAAGTGTCAATGCCCACCGAGGAACTTCTCCTTCGTCTAGTGCCCCCTTTAGATTCCTTGCGTTGTCGCTCTGAGTGCGCAGGCCACGAGGAGTGTAATGGAGGATGGGCACCTGCCACACTATCCTCTTCTACCGGTATTTTCCTCGCTGCAGGAAGCTTCCCCACACGCTCTACCTCCACCAGTGAAGGCGCAGACGACAGTGTGACTGAGCTCAAAATGGATGCCAAATCATTCCCCTGGGTTGAGAAAGACATTGAAGGTTCCTCGTCCATGAGAGCGAATGGATTGCTAGCGTGATAATTGTCGTCGTCGTCATAAGGCGATCTCAGAGGTTTTTTCATGTTACCATCTCCCCCAGCAGCAGCCCCTCTCCCCTCAGTTTTGGCCATTGGTTTCTTATCATCCGCCTGAGACTCCTCTTCAGTAGAGAACTCAGTGTTGGCCCGCGGCAACGATAGTGACATTTTCCCATTGATGTTGCTTCCAGTTTCACTATTTGCCTCCCCCACGGACCGAGTGCGATCCCTTGTACGTAGGGAGTCTCGTGACGACAGTTCCTGGACCAACTCATCACGTTTGTTGGCCTTTCGTTTCAATCGAGCACTCAGGACCTTTGTCAAGGGTGGCGGTCGTGCACTTTCGCTTTCGTCTTCACTTTTGATTGCCTGGATTGCAGGCGAGGACGAGGTGTGTCGCTCCACATCTAAGGCAGGAATATCCTGATCATGATCATCATCATCCAGAATTGAGAAGTGTCGGCTGCTGCTACTACTGCTGTTCAGTCGGCTGCTGCTGGTGTTCAGTCTACTGCTGCTTCCTTGGCCGCTACTGCTGAGTCGCTGTGTTGACGACCATAACTTCTTCATCAACCCAGGGCTCGGTGTTGTCGCCGTCTTACTAGATCCTGTGCTTGCTCTGGCTTGCTTCTTCTTGGTAGATTTGTTGTGCCCTGTGACATTAGTATCCGTCAAACCAGGATTTGCAATCGTTATCAGATCTGTGTCACTTCCTCTTCTCTTGATCTGCTTTTTGTTGACTTTCCAGGTTGGCGTTGGATGGTCAGAAGATGATATGACTTGACTGGGTGCTGTAGGCACTAGTAGAGGTACTGTCCTGGCACGCCTTTCACTGGAAGATTTGACCTTTGGCACTTCATTGGAGGAACCAGCTGATTGATTCCTCTTTGCGTCGGCAAAAAACTTGCTGCTATTCTGCTTGTTGAAGGACCGATTCATATGTCGTCGCATAGACTTTCTGAAACCAGTCAGGCTGGATCGCAGGGAGGACGACATGGAAGATGAGGAATCATCCATGGGAGAGGCTGATGATGTGTCCACGAGAGGTACCGTAATGCGTTGGTGATGGCTCCGACTTTGCTGCTGCCGTGGGGGGTGCCTGTTTTCCATTCTCTCTCTCTCTAGCAAGTCAGCGGCGCTGTCCAGAGACCGTGAAGAGATGGAGGAACTGAGTTTCTTTTTTTGGTTGGTAATAAGAAAGGAAGGTATGTCTGCCTGGGAGGAACCATCTCGTTCTGCATCAACTGTCTTGTGGGGCTCAGCTACTCGTGGTGGTGGTGCTTCTGCTCCCCTACCTGGTTGACGGTTGCGTAACTTGCGCTTTCGTGCAGCCACTCGCTCAGCTGGAGAGTCCAGTGCTACCAGGAAGGTTGGTACATAGTTATCTTGGCTGCGCGGACCAACACTGGCCACTTCTCGTTCACTTCCATCAATGGTAGTCCCACGGACACCGGTATTCCGCCGTCTTCGAGCATCGTAGGTATCGTTGCTGGTACTGGTGGGTAGCATTGCTTCAACACGGAAAGCTCAACTAACTAACGGTGCTTTGGGTAGCAATATGCTGGCTGGGGTATTTGAGCTTTCTATGACCAAACGCAAATGCCACAAATTGTGGCTTGCAGCCTGAGCCGATCGGCAAGAATCGTGGCGTGATGTATCTGACCAAACTGGACAGCGGCTTCAGATGGGCTGTTGATACCGTATCAATTGCTGTATGCATTGGCCAAACTATAATAATATGGTGAGATTTGATGATGTAGCATGGGTTCGTGTTCCAAGTTCCAACGTGAGTTGTACGGCCATGCGGTACGCAGTATCCGGTGCTACAACGGTTCTCTTGCTGTTTTGTTGTAACGTGCATATTTATTTTTGAGCATTTTGGCGGATAACAGTACCAGTCAGACCGTAACGCGACGAGAGCCCATGTTACAGGCCTTGGGCATTAAGAGCCTCAAAAACAGTCCCTAGTTCAACCAAGCCCCTCGCAACCGGCAAGGTCGTCGAGTTCCGAAACAATGCCCCAGCAACGAAAAGCACCCTCAACAAACTACTTAGATAAAGAGAGCTTGGAGCATAGGAAACCCGCTTGTAAAATGATCCGGTCAAAGAGTGCAATAGTACTTCAAAGAGCTCTCCAGCTGTCCAATTATGGGCCAGGTGTAGCTGTATCGGCAAAGCTACATGAGGATTACGGAAGTAAGATCCCGCCGTTGGTGTAAATGTGTGATAGATGACTTATGTATCAATTTAAAATTTGTCAGCCTTCCGCATTCGTCGAGAATCACGTAAAGACTTACCCCTGACTGCGAAAGCGGGGGGGCCTCGGAGTTGCAATGTTGGGCCACATTTTCGGCGGCACCTTGGAACCTCCGACAACTGTTTCATTGCTGTCAACTCCCACCAAGGAACTGTGCCAAATTAGTCAGACAAACTATTACTGGGATATGGTAGCTGTTGAAACGGACCTGACATCTCCACAGGCATACCTACCTCAGCGCATTGCGAGCGTGGGACAATTGACAGAAAACCGACGTCAAAGCAAGAATGATGCCGGCGGAAGCCAGGTACGTACCAGTAGGCCACGAGAACCTTCGCTTGCTCGCAGCATCTGCGATTATTCTGTTAGTGTTCAAGTCGAATCTTTTGCCGTTGGCATACCTTGGTCATGCGGAGGCCTAGCTAGCTAGTAGAGAAAAGTTCCTGGATGCAATCAGTAGATTTGGAAGCATCACTCCAGGGAGGTGCGCATTCGGACAAGAGAAAAAAGTATCTTGCTTCTCGAGAACCCAACCAACGGTCTTTTTGGCGTTGATACAGTACCGCAATGGAAGGTCAGAAAAAGTTTGTTTGTAAATTCCGGCAGAACCTAACTTATGAAGATCCGAAAGATATTTCCTTCCAATCCGGTGGCTTTTTGTTTAAGGTATCGTGGACAGTGGACAACCCAAAACTACTTCTTCCAAAAAATGCCATGCATCGGGTTGCTAGAAATCATGTAGCCCATTTGCCATTGCTTACTACGAGAAACTATTTTGCAGTCTATTGCTGCAACCTCTTTTTTCGGGAGGAAGAGAGACTATTCCATACGATTTTAGCAAAGAGTGACTGGATTAAGTAAATTTTACTGAAACAGGTCACCAACCGGAGACTATTGGCACCAAACGAAGCACAATACTGCATCAATTAGTTATGAATTGATTTCCAGGCACCAGAATTAAAAATGCTCGTCTCTTGTCATTGCCAACTCAACAGCAACTACAACAGTTCTTTATCATTATAGCTAGCTCCACACAAAAGTCCGTAAATGTTTCTCTTGGGGAATTTCCGGACTGATACCACTTCTTCAAAAAGAGCATCACATTCACGGTCAAAAACGGAATTGATTTCCGAGTCGAACCAATAAATAAATATTCTTAGGCAAAGGTTGTCTTCCAAACTTGTGGAGCCAATTTTTCCAAAGCGGCAGCGACCTTATCTTGGATTTCTGCCGTGGGAGTGAGGGCCAACATGAGACCTCCACGACCTGTTCCACTCATTTTGGCCCCAACGGCTCCAGCTTCGCGTGCCGCTGTGACGAGATCATCGAGTTCTTTGCAGCTGACAGTCAATTCTTGGCACAAGGTGTGGTTTTCGTTCAAGAGTTTTCCGAGCTCGGTAATGTCTCCCGCATCAATGGCCTTTTCTCCCTTTTCCACAAGAGCCACGTATTTCTTCAACAAATCGTCAAACCATGCTGGATCGGCCTCCTTTTTGGCCTTGACATCGCCCACAACCTTGGTAGTACTGGAGGTAATTCCAGTACTGGCGTAGACGATACGAATGGGTTCGCTGACCTTTTTCTTGGTAAAAATGGGATCGCCATCTGTGCGCTGAAATTTGAGGACTCCTCCAAAGGTAGCAGCCGTATTGTCGATTCCAGAAGGAGTTCCATGGTATCCTTTTTCGCCTTCGTATCCGGCGGCATTAATTTCGTCTTCGGTCATTGCCTTGGGCAAAGCAATGGACAAGGCTCGTGCCATGGCGACAACCTGAGCCGCCGAGGCTCCAATTCCACTGGCACAGCACAAATCTCCACCAAACGTAAGCTTGAGTCCACGCTCCTTGGTTGTGTCAATACCAAAATGTTTCAACACAAGTCCAATGGCGACATCGGCTTCGTCCTTTTTGGTTACCTTGTAGTTGGGGACGGCAGGTCGTTCATCAATCACTTCGAGACCGGGCTTGTCGGTAAAAACGGCATCGCAATCCGTGTAGCAAGAGACTGCTCCCACCAAAGCGGGCACTTTGTATACCACAAAATGCTCTCCCATCAAAATCAGTTTTCCGTATCCCTTGGTACGGGACAAAACATCTCCTCCAATGCGCTCGAGGCGCTGGCGTTTGGCATCGTGCTCTTCCGTCATTGTTATTGTATTTGTCATTAAATTTCTCAAAGCAAAGAGGTAGCAAATTTGTAGCAGTTTCTAGAGAGATAGATAAAAAGTGTGAGATCAATGACTTTGTTGGAACAGAAATGCCACACTTGTCAAAAGGCGACGAAACTCTGGCTATGGCATGGCCAGAATCCACAGAATCTTCTCGGACCGAACACGACAACGGTCAAAACAGGTTTGCATGCTGACTGTGATCCAGGATCCACTACTATCCAAACGGGCAAAATGGTATCTTTTGCACTGATGTCATCCATTTCATGGGCCCGCAACCCGCGACGTGTGCAAAGCCACTGCCAACACGTACTTACGAGGGGTTGCTGTAGACCTTGTACCGGTACCAGAAAGGTGTTGACTACGTGCCCTGTCTGCCTAAGTACCGTAAGTAACATCTTCATGCTGAAGAAACTAAAAGTCTGGCGAGCAGACTCCCGCAACATTTAGTTTCAGCGATGGGTCAGCGACCGTTGCATCCAAGGCTCCAAGCCTCCATGCCAATGAGAATTCCACCAGCATTCAAAAAGACGATAGCACCATGACAATGAACCATCACCACCAACCAAGGCCCAAATTGGGCAATCTCTCACGAAGACGCTTGGCTCAGGGTTATTCGTTTGGTGATTTGCTGGTGGATCTACCCTTGGGCAAAGACATTAATACCTCCAGCTTTGCTGTGGATCTTTCCACCATCCAGTCTCAGTGCTTTCACAGAATCTATCGATTCTGGTTGACCAAATATATCCAGATTCGGAACATATCCAGACGAAAATGGCTGATCCTCTTTGTCGTCCTTGTCAATTTTAGTATCTTGGTCGTGGTGGATCGCATGACCACCCGAACGCAATCCACATCGAAATGGGCTCGAATGATGTACGAAGATTCAGGAGCAAAGAGTGCGTCTCTTCGAGGATCTGCTGGCAACCGACAACCCTCTTCAGGAACTATCAGCGACCTTCATATTGCCTTTGTGGGAGATAGCGTCACCAGGTACATGTACCTCGACTTGGTCTACTTTTTGCGACACAATAAATGGGTACAAGACAACGACAGCCCCAACATTCTAAATGCCAAACAATTCCCTAGTTGGAATGATCATTACAATGCATCGACTCTGGCACTGGCTCCCAATGAAGAATGCGATTGCTTTCGGCTCAACCCCAAAAACTCGTCACACATTGACAAGGAAGAGACGATTGAAAATCGGTACTATGCCGACCCAGAACGCAACAATTATGCCACCTTTATTGAAGTCTTTGGTGGATATCAAGCACATGGACATTTGTTGCCGGAAGAGGCATATGTACAACATCGACATGCCATGGACTTTGATCGACTCCAAACAGATCCATTTGTGTGGCGTCATGATTGGCCCGGGTTGATTCGCAACTACCTCAATGAAATGAACCCCAAACCGGACTATCTAGTGTTCAATGAGGGGCTCTGGATTGAACATGAATTGGGAGACGAAGACGTGCGACAATCCATCAAGGATGCTCTAGACGACTCTGGCATTATTGGAATCTACAAAACGACAACCTTGCCCAACATTAATAGTGGCCTTGCCAAACGATCCGCTGGCGTGGTCTTTAATCGACACGATGATGCCATGTGCGAGCTGATTGGAAACTATCTAGACTTTTCCTGGACCAAAGACTTGGGGGATGAACATTATTGGGATGGAGTTCATTTCAAACCACATGTCAATAGAGGCATGAACATGGAACTATTGGATATGCTGCAGAAACTCAAGCAAGGACCCGTTGTTACGCCAGCTCCACTAAAGGCTACTCAATAATATGGATGGCAAAACAACAACAAGAAAGCCGAGATCTTTACAAAGCTTTTTACGCCCCTCTTGGGGCTGGACTCGACTAGCACAAGAACAATCCACATGTACACCGATGGATCACCAAGATTGTACACATCGCAATCATTGACAGACCGGACTCCTTGGTACCGTATCTATTATCTACCCTTTAGTATTCACCAGATGTGCCGTGTTTATCGGCCTTGCAAACAGCTTGTAGCAATCGGTCGCTTTGATTATCTACTGGACCTGGCGAAGGTGTCATTAATATAGCGTGCAACCATGTTACTGAAGATATTAAGAATCCATGCAAAATCATGCATTCTTTGGGCATGGTCAATGATCCCAGTGGAAAAGACAGACAATAGGGTGTCAGTCCCATTGGACTACTATTGCCAGAAAAGGGCACACAAAGGTGCCCATTGGACCACAAAGGTTTGAAATCAATCTTGCGGACATTTTGGCAAGAGCGAAAGGTGATGCTTTCGTACATGGACAGTAGCAAGTCTTTCCCGAATGGTCTCTTATATGCAAGGTAGGCTGTTGCACGGTGCGAGAGCTGTATCAACTGGAGCCCCCCGAGCTTTCTTCTCAATGAACCACCGCCAGAAAGGTGTATGCCCTGCCGGTTGTAGAGTTGGTCTAGGTGAATGTTGCAAGGTCCAGGGGTCGGTCCAGGTCTGGAACCGGGAGTGTGGCCTTGGTGATGGCAAGGAATTGGGTCTGGTTTGTGGTGTCTTGGGTTGTTCCCAAGAGATAACAAAGAGTGAGGTCAGGTGTCCTTGCTAGCACGTGCAGCTGCACCTGCAGCTCCAGGAGTTGGGTCTAAATAGGTCAGGTGTCGAGCCTGGAAACGGGCCTGGATGAGCGAAATAGCTATACATTCGGGTGTTCGGGCCCGACGCTTACTTAGCTATCCATGTGATTTTTTTAGAAGTACTGGAGTAGCCATGTACTGATGGTCTATTATAAAAGTGATTTGATTCAAGGGCACGGTGGTATCGAACGACCCGAGAGGAAACCTCTACCGTACTTCTGTCGGAGCTACAATACAGTGCAGCAGTACAACAACTTGGGACGCTTTGAGCTATGCATAGCTAGTGCACCGTCCAGGCCATGGAACTATCGGTATTCTATTGCGTGGTCTGCATGCTACAGTGTAGCATGAGCAGCGCTGCTCTTGTATTTTAATAGCGCTTTGGAGCTTTCCTACCGGTACCGGTGTACCGGTACATGGACTCCTAATATTAAAATAACATCTCCGTGCAAATTATTTGTGACTGGTAGCTATTTTTGTGTCACGCTAAAAAGACATCAATCGGCCGCAGCAGTCCTGTGTTGTTAAATAACGGCCACTTTTGGGCTTTGGGGTTGAATCTCGGGAAGCCTTCTGTGCATGCCGCTGCCAATCAAGGCGAAAGATTCTCTGCATGCAAACCATGCTATGTGCTGGGCAGCCTTCTGTTGGACCCTCCATCCAGGTCTGATCATCTCATAATGAGATTTCCTCTTCCTTCATGGATGACCGCCTCCTACCTTAGTCTTTCTAGTGGTAGCAGCAAGAGTAGTACGGATACCGGTAGCAGCATCGCTGAAGACTTGAAAATGTCAAGCAAAGCACATATTAGTGAGCCCGTCGTCACATCCACGGACGAGAGCGCCATTGAAATTGAAAAAGTGGAAACAGTCCCAGGAATTTCCACCGAGAAGAACGGCATTAGTGACGGCATGAAGTGGTGGCAAGAAGCTGTTGTGTATCAGATCTATCCTCGTAGTTTTCAAGACTCCAATGGCGACGGTGTGGGCGACTTGAATGGAATCATTGACCGTCTCGACTATCTCAATGACGGAACTCCCAATTCCCTGGGCGTTGATGCCATTTGGTTGTCACCTATATACCCAAGCCCAATGTTTGACTTTGGCTATGATATTTCTGACTACACAGATATTGATCCTGTCTTTGGCAACTTGCAAGACTTTCGACGACTGCTGGATGAAGCTCATCGGCGCAACATCAAAATCATTATGGATCTTGTCATCAATCATACATCTCACCTGCACCCTTGGTTCAAGGAAAGTCGTTCCTCGAAAGATAATCCCAAGCGCGATTGGTACATTTGGAAGGACCCTCGGTATGATTTGCGTGGACATCGGCAACCACCCAACAACTGGCTGGGAATGTTTGGCGGAAAAGGCTGGAAGTGGGATGAACATACCCAACAGTATTACTTCCATTCCTTTCTAGCGGAACAGCCCGACCTAAACTGGCGAAATCCAGAAGTCAAAGAAGCCGTCTTTCAAATGGTCAAAGGATGGCTAGACATGGGCGTGGACGGATTCCGCTTGGATGTCATCAACTACATCTTCAAGGACGATCAATGGCGAAACAATCCCGTGCAATATTTCAAGCCAGCTCGTCCCTATGATAGACAGCGCCATGTATATGATCGAGACAGGCAACCCGACCTGAGTGGCATGTTGAGTGACTTGAGGAAACTCCTCGAGTCCTATGACGGTGACCGCATGAGCGTGGGTGAAATTCAAGTGGAAGATCATACCAAGGTCAAGCATGTCGCCAGTTGCGTTGGTGGCAAAGATCAGCTGCACATGGCATTCAACTTTGCCTATTTCTTCACTGCTTGGGATGCCAAAGTATTTCGAAAACGCATCCATGAATGGGACAGCGCCTGCCAGAAACAGGAACCCATGGGAGGCTGGCCAACCTACACTTTGAGCAATCATGACTATGAACGGCACATTAGCCGATACACTCCCCTGGTAGGTGGGTCTTCTTCCAAGGAGGCTGTCGCTCAGGCTCGTGCCAAGTTGGCCGCACTAATGCTGCTGACCTTGCGAGGAACTCCCTTTCTATACTACGGAGAAGAAATCGGTATGCGGGAAGAACCCGTGCCACGAAGGCACTTGAAAGATCCAGTGGGGTTGCGGTTCTGGCCATTCCACCCCGGACGCGATGGCTGTCGTCGACCCATGGCATGGAATGGTGAATATTCACAGGGCGGCGGCTTCACCTCTGCGAAGGGACGTCATGGTCACGAACTCGAAGACGATGCTGGGAAGGAGATGGAGGAGGATCAGGAAAAGGCTCCACCAATGGAGCAGCCCCAGGAAGAGAAACCATGGCTACCCTTGTCGCAGAACCTGAAAACAGTCAACGTTGCTTCTCAAACCGATGACCCTTCCAGTTTGCTGAACTTCTACAAGAAATGCATCTGGTTCCGACGACAAGATGAGATCTTGCGGTGCGGAAGCCAGCACATCATGATGGGGCAGGAGGACGATGTCGAGAGTCCGGATGGTGGCAAAAAACGACAACGAAACAAGGCCAATGAGACTCCCAAAGGAGTCATGGCATTTGTGCGCGAGTACAAATCTGGCAAACGATTGGTTCTTCTCAACTTCAGCGGAAAGCAGGTAACCGTTCCTCTCTTTCAGCAGGGGTATTTTGCAGATGCGGCAGGGTTCCAAGTGCTTTTGTCCACACAAGAGGACCGCCCTGTGGCCGCCACGGAAAGCAAGGAAAGGTCTTCATCGTCTGATTCCGACCCCTCAATCTTGCAAGGTTCGTCCGTCACAGTGAATGGTAACGAAGGCATTGTGCTTCGAGTATGGAGCAAGCGACGGTTCAATGAGTGAAAGGTGTAGCGAGTTTCTCTGTGATCGTTACCAGGCCTGACGGTACACAGATGTAGTCCAGGCAACTAGCTAGAATGGATAAACAAACCACGTCGTAGACGAGATAGCGTCGTTGACCCTCTAGAGCGACACCACGTTACAGTGAGTGCAGTCCAAGGTGCTCTGCAACGTTTAGGTCTTACTGTTAGGGACCTGGGCCTACGGCACTGGCTACCGGTACCCTAGATGTATCCCTCTGACTCGCTCCACTCGCCCCACTCGCCCCTCAACCCTCAACTCATTCATCCTCCTCGTCGACGAATGGAGAAATCCAGTAGCTACTCATATTGACCACCAAGGTTTTTGACCATGCAGCCATTGCTTACCATACCAATCCAACCCATGCTTCCTGACAAAATGGTGCCATTGTTACGAATGTATACCACTGATATTGACTCGTGTTTAACACTGTCAGATGTCTCACCTTGTCAACCACTGCCCACCACTGTTTGCCACCGTTTTACCCACGGAATAAAGGTCAGAAGAGTGGGCAGTGATTCTCCACAACTCCTGTGCACCTTCTACTGTTGAAGCAAAACAGCTCACTGTTACATGTACTTACCGTTCGGTGTACCGGTACTGGTGAAAAGACGACTCTTCCAAAAACCTGCTACAAATATGCAAATTCCAAGTGTTCGATAGCCAGTCCCAACATGTTAACAGCTAGCTCAGGAATTGCTGCCACTGGTTCAAGCATCGTTGATTGGTTGGATACGTGTAGTGCGTGAGTGCGTGAAAGTCTACAGAATCTTCGAAGTTCCAGCCTCGTTGATTGGCTTCAACATCTACAGTGAATGGTCACGGTCACACGGTCACACTGGAAGAAATCATGCTGGTGATGCGGATATTGCCAGCACTATGGTTGGCATCAGATGGTACTTGCATGGTTTTCCACTCTATTAGCGCTGTAGTACTAGCTAGCTAGTCTCACTTGGTTCAGTCAGGTCATACCCAGTTATGCATGGTTGGATAACACTCTTTGGCTAAAACACATCTCATCAGATTCTTGAACAATTTCGAGAGAAAAATGAGGCATCCATCTGGGCCAAAGCCTTGGTCATAATCTGCAAGAAAGAAAAACGAAAAGCAAAAAGTTTGCAGCTCCTACTTGAGTTCACTACTGTTGGAGCCTTTGATCTACACGAAGATGAGCATTTTAGCCTCAAGCCACGCCAAGGGGACAGTCCTTCGCTTCCTCTTATTGCTTGCTACTGGAGCCGTGAATCTCCAAATCGCATCAGCAGGTTGTGATTACCTACTTACCGTGGGTAATCGAGGCGGTGTTGACAGGTTCAACGACGAAACACAGTTTTTGGCGGCTGGCGGGGCTACGACTACCTGTACCGTTTCCTCCGGTTCCAATTATTGTGACTATGCATATCTTGAAATTGTCTATGGCGATGGTGTGGATGGCTCCAATGCCTACAATGGCAACACGGGCAGCGTTGGTTCCATAACTACTGGAGGCACAATTACAAGCTGTGACTTTTCAATTTCAATGAGTGATCCCAATGATGCCACCGTTTTGGGCTTGGAATTGTTTTGGAGAAGCCGTGGCAACGTTCAGATTACTTGTTCCTGCGACAGAGCCATTCCCCCCCACCGATTCTCCTACGCGCGCCCCGTGGCGTGCACCACTTCCACCACCAGAGGATGACGGCCCCAGCAACTGTTTTTCGGAGACTGCAACCGTTCAAGTTGAGAGTAAAGGAGCTGTTTCCATGAAGAACCTCCAAGTTGGAGACAAAGTTCTGACTGGGAACAAGAACACACCATATCAGCCAGTGTACAGTTTTGGGCACCGCCACGAACATCTTGAAGGGACATTCTTCCAAATCCATACAGCTGACAAGGCTCCATTGGAAATGACTGGCAGTCACTTGATGTTCATTGTGGATGATGAAAATAAGCTTCAGACGGTCCGTGCTGATGCGGTCAAAGTCGGTGATCATGTTGTCAAGAGTCGAGATGATGGCGTGATGCTGCCATCGACTGTCACTGAAATCACAACAATTCGGAAGAAGGGCATGTACATGCCATTGACACCTGATGGAACAATTGTTGTGGATGGAATTGTGGCATCGACCTATGTTTCCATTCAAGACCAAGCTCCTGCTGTTGTGGAAAACTCCAAGCTGTTCCCATTCTTGACAGAACAAAGGATTTTGCATTGGTTCCTGTCCCCTTACAGGATGCTATGTCTGGGTGTATCCTCCAATGCTTGTCAATTCTTGGAAAGCAGGGATGAAGAAGGCATTCATTTCTGGTTGGTTGCTGGAAGGAAGCTGGCTGAATTTGCCAATGGTCAGGGATTCTTGGTGCAAGTGCTGCTGATTGGAATTCCCGTATTTTTGGTGTTTGCTCTCGTGAACCTTTTGGAAGTGCTCCTTGGTGGACCTGCTCTTGCCCCATTTGTGTGCTTTGCAACAACTGTCTTTGGAGGTTGGATTGTCAACAACCTGCAGCGTCGTCGCATGCGGAGGGAAAATAACGAGACCAAAAAGTTGGAGTAGACTGGCCGACGACTGACAAGAAAAAGCACCAACTTGATTGAATTCATCCATCCATCCATCCATGTGCTGCATACACCCCCCTTCAGAGAAGAATATATTTGCACCATTTGTTCTGGTACCATCTTGTTTGTTTTGTTTGTAATGCATATAATTTGACATAAAGCCAACCTAAGCAACCTCACTACTAGTATGCTACTCGGCAACTCCATCTTAGAGACGATGGATTGACCATGGTCCAAGCGTTTCCGCCTTATCCGTACTGTAGTGAGACTGGCTAGCTAGAGAGACGCTCACAAAACTGTTGCGAAGTTGAGTTGAGTGACGGTCATGTATGTGCTCCTCTTTAGTGAGGTTGAAGATCACACCGCATGGTTGCCATGCGGTCTAACTGGCTATTGGTAGGCTCTAAATTCAAAAATTGCTTGGATGAAGTTGAAGTGGCGAAGAGCGGACCTCTTGGCAGTCTTCCTTCTACTCGTAATGAACAAGTCTTTGGCTTCTTTGGAATGGTGATGCTCTCGCTTGCAAGGTCCTCACCCAGCTGATCAAACAAACATTGGCGTTCCTGCAACCTCGAGGAACGCAACCAAAGAAGAAAGATCCAAAGCAGCTGTGCTGGATTGTGGGACAGCCATCTTTTACAAGAGAGGTGAATGTCGCAGTTCGGAGCGGAACAGAATACCTTAATGCTTTATTCTTCCGTTGGAAAGCAGGCTTCGATGTTTTATGTACGCTTTTTCGAAAGCCACGAGCGACAAGCCCGAGAGCCCGAGCGACAAGCTGGAAATGTATGGAAGGTGAATTTCGATCAGCGGTCCCCTTCTCACAACTCGGATCTCTTCAAGTCTTCTTACTTCTTCCATCAAGAAGTTGTTATTACCATCCATCGATCAAACTTGTGGATGCATGACTAGCTAGCTAGTGTACACAGCAACTAGTTACTATTAGTAAACCATCAACATGAGCCATCCAACAGGAGGAGAAGAGGGTTTCCAGATCACTGGTTTGGAATTGTTGACCGACGAGACCATCAACGACAAGAAGAAGAAGAAGCCCCAGCATACTACTACAAACGCCAAGAAACCCAAAGCCAAAGCGAAATCCAAGATCACGGCCCAACCCGCGCTGTCTCCGATCCACCAAAAGCCTCGCCTGGTGATGAATCGTAGCAAACCAGCTCCTGCGTTTATTCGAGGAGGCAACAAGCCACTGAGTCGCACCAAAAGTCTACCGCGATCTTTCCAGCGTCCTGATGCGGCCATGGCGAAACCCATCTCACCGAAACGAGGCAAACTTAAGAAAACAAAGTCACAACAAGGCCGTCGCATGTCCACAGACCAGCGTCGTCCTTCCTTGCCTCGTGTAAGTCGTCGTGTGAGTATTGGCAATGAAGAAGTGGGAGTCACCAAGACCACGTGGGGTCAAAAGCCACAACGAAAGCCGTCGCTGTCCGGTGGAAGTAATCACGGCAAACAACAACAACAACATCAACAAGGAAATTACAACTCTCTCACGACACCACCACCTCCCGCAGCACTCAAGAATACCAGTGACCACGACTCGGTCTCTCGTCGATCCAGTATTTCCAGCAATGGATCCAATTTTTCCGATTACGATATTTCCGACGAAGACGATGCGCCACCAGCGAAAGGACCTTATATCGGAAACAGCAGCCGCAGCAATAATAATGATCCCATGGGTCACAGCAGCAGCGGTCGTGGGATCCCACAACGCATCTTGAGCGACAATCATTCCGTCGTGAGCGAATACTCGTATGCCAATGATTCCCTCGATTTGCGTCGCAACAGTAACAATCGAAAGAAACAGCAACAGCAGCAACAACAACCATCACGCACGGGACGATCGCGCCAACGACCCTACGACGAAGAAGAGTATTACGATGATTTGGACGACGATTCCTGTGCGAATGACACGTACGCCAATGATTCCCTCGATCTCCGCCAGTACAATAAGAAAAAATTGGGATATGGAGATGAAGACGAAGACTTTGATGATGACCTATTGGATGATGATGATGACGACGATGCGGATACATATGCCAATGATTCTCTCGATTTGAGACAATACAACAAGAAAAAACTTGCCCGCGAAAATAATAATCAAGAGGACGACGACTTGGACGATGATGATGATGATTCTTGCGACGGGGATACCTATGCCGGTGATTCGCTGGATTTGAGGCAGTACAACAAAAAGAAATTAACCCGAAAGGTCTCGGAAGGACTCGATGATTCTGCCGCTGGCAGCGCGTATTCGTACGCGGTGGATTCCGTCGACTTTCGATCGTTTCGACGCAACATTCAACGAAAAACCAGCGTCGAACAACAACAACAACAGCCGTCCAATCAAGATTTGGGATATGGCAATAGTCCACCGACCACGGAAGATTTGGGATACGAACAAGAGCCCCAGCCGTTGGCGAAACAGGAATCGTGGGATGATGATGCCAGTTTTGATGCCTACAGTTATGCGGCCGATTCCATTGATTTGAGGAAAAAACACAACCAACCCGCCACCACGACGACGAGGACGGCAACCACCACAGAAGATGAATACGACGATGATAGCGACGGAGATGATGATGATGACGACGATGATGACGACGATGACACTGACACGGCTGGAGACGAAACAGATAGCAACAAAACTCCCGTGGATTACATGACACGAATTGTCATGGGGTACCAAAAGAAAAGTAATGGAGGACCAGAGATGCGGAGAATGTCAAACGAATCCACGGCATGCAGCATTTACAGTTATGCCTGTGATTCTGTCGCCATGAAGCCAACAAAGCAACGAAAGACAAAACTGCAAGAACCCGCCCCACCAGCAAAACAAGCGGTGGATACCAAAAAGATGTATGCCAACACGGAAGGCTATGATGATTGTTCGGATGATGACGAAGATTACAGCGACAGTTCTCATCATGGTGGTAACAATCCTTATCTGTCCGCCATGATGGGATACGGGGATGCCGCCGGTGGTGGCCGTCGATCCTCTGCCCAAGTCAAACAGTCCCAAAGCCACGATGCAGGCATGGAACGACGATTCTCCTGCAACTCGTACTCCAATGATTCCGTGGATCTGCGCATGTTCAAAAAGGACCCAAGTTACAACGACGGAAGCGGCAGAAGAGGAAGCACTCAACGGCGAGAGTCCATGGATGAAAGTGTGGGTTCGGCCATTTCAGCACGGGGATTAGATCCTGACTATTTGAATGAAATCATGGGATATGCGTTACAGCCAGGGACTAATATTGGGGGAACGGCAAACAAAAATAACAATTCACTCATGGCAGTTCCTCGCCAGACAGAAGATCCCGGTCCTCGTCAATTACTGGTGACCACTGAGCCTGACATGATGGACTCCTTCACCAGCATTGGGTCGGCGGGAGATTGGGCATTGTCGCCTAGTAGACCGTCCCAGCCAAAGGTTTCTCTGTCTGCTTCCAAAGTGATGCAAGCAAGCATGACCTCTTTGGGAGGAGTTGGCATGGCGTTCAGATCTCAAGCCGAAGAAGAGGACTGTGAGTACGAAGATATGGGCATGGCGGCAGCTAGTTCTGGGTCGGCGGACTGAGTGATCATTCGTTGCTTTGGGCGGTACTGAAAGAGCGAGAATTCATGCATACAATCAATCAGCTGCACGTGTACGTTGCCTATGAAAACGATTTATATATTCAATGCAAGTGGCTGCTTCCATTCTCCGCAAGTGCGACAATAAATCTTTCTTCTCCAGAGAAGAGTAAATATGCTTTGGAAGTGGCGGCCGATTCGCCCATCCCTTTGAGACTACTGATGCCATTCAAGGACTTCACGTTGGTTTCAAGGGATCCCCGAGAAGCGCGTTGGACAGTTCCTGCCAAATCGTACACTGCAATGAGAACGGGAGCTGTTTGGTCGCCTTGACAGCGTTGTTGTCACTGAATCCCCAAAACAGAAGTTCGAGAATCCCGCGCAGGCGCTGGTCTACCGGTATAGAACTGAGTGCCAGGTGAGGGCGATGGCAAAGTTGACCTTGTCACTCTTTCGAGATAGGAATGCGGCCAGTTCTATGCCAGATTTGCTAGACCGACCCCTGAATGAAGAGATTGCCCTTGGCAGCTTCCTTGACGCAAAGAAGATCTGATCATATCGTATCGAAAAGTGCTAGCTAGCAATAGACAAACAGGGCTAGAACAAAACGCAATCGTGGGGGGTGTTTCAAGATGGACAAAGTATAACAATCAAAATGGGACCTCAAGGACTTCTACTAGCTAGACTAATTTCGCCAGATTTGCTAGACCGATCCCTGCATGATGAGATGTCTCTTGGCAGGCTTCCTTTACAGAAGATCAGATCGTTCGTAAAGTGCTAGCTAGAGACTAGCCACTAGACAAACAGCACTAGCAGATAGTAGAACAAAACACTTCCACAGCTACTGTTCAGCTATCAAAATGGCACCTAATGCAATCACTGGGAATCGAACCCAGGACATCTGCTTGGAAGGCAGATATTTCTGCACTTTACTGCGATGGCTGAGTTTTCCGCAGTGAGTGCCAGGCCGCCTATCGTTATGGAGCGACCTCCAAGACCCCATTATGGTGATCTATCTGATCTCCTCAAGCAAGCATCTCAGAAATGATGCAACCCTCCAAACGTTGTTTGTTGCTACTTAGTTGTTCCTTGCAACAATTTTGGCCGGTGACAGGAATCCTTGATGCGATTCTATTCTCCTCGAGATCGTCAGCGTCGGATATATTCTGTCAATTTCATTTTCGAGTTTGTCAATCGTCGACCCCCCGAGCCGTGAACACGACCATCCATTGGCTGAATCTCAGTATCCAAAAAAAGCACCAGCTCTCCAGCTTGGAGTCTCCCATCATGTCTGTCTTGTCTTGTGTGTGTGTTGCTAGAATACAGTTGTTATTCATTCTGATCCCTCCAATAATGTGTATTGCTGCCACGTAATGGGAAACTCGTTGGCATCCAATGGAATTTGTTGCAAGTCTTCATCACTCGTACAATGGTCTGGCACATATTTGGAGTAGAGTTTGCTCTTTTTGGCTTGCATGGTGAAATGAACCGGCCCAGGTACAAAATGCAATCCCAGTCCTCGTCTTGGTTGCGTCGGACTGTGGTTTTTCCCGGATCCATGCCATGTGGTTCCATGATGAATGGTGATACTTCCGGCCGGCAATCCTGCCATACTGACCACGTTGATATCCTTCAATCCTTCTCGTTCGGCGGCAGCTCTCATCATGGTATCATAACTGCTGTTTTTGTTGGAATAGAATTGACGCATGGATCCACTTGACGCAGAAGAAGAATCCCAGTTGTGACTGCCCGGGACATACTCCAACGGTCCCAATGTGGCATGCATGGTATCCAGTGCAATCCATACCGTGACGAGACGCGGATCATCAAATTGGAAATAGGGCGCATCGCGATGAAAGACCAGTGGTGCCGCCCCGGGTGGTTTGGCCCAGACTTGATCTTGGGCCAACCGAATGCTCGTCCAACCGGCCAATTGGGCCACCACACGTCCCAGTGTGGCGCTCGTTGCCAATTGATGAAAGAGACAATCGCATTTGTGAATGTTGATGATTTGATAGACTCGTTTGTGGGGGGTACTCATGCTTACAGTAGTCGCTGATATTTTGGGAACCTTATCGGGTGGTTGGTTTCGATTGTAGTCTCCTTGCAGCAGCACACACTCGAGGCGCTCATTCAATGCCTTCACGGTCGATTCGTCCAACACGTTGGGAATGGCCACAAAGCCGTCTTGATCAAACGATGTCTTCAACCCCAATGGAACAACAACAGCATCATTGCATTCCAAACCAGTGGCAGTAGCAGACGGACTGTCGGGCAAGGTCACACGAAACGAAAAATCATGGTCAATGGCAGCACAACCACAGTCGCTATCACTAAAAATGGTAGGACCTGTACGACTACATGTACCAGCAACAGACATGATGGAAATGCCGCCTCAAGCTTCACGGCTTTGTGATCCATCCAGCCGCTGTGGCTTTTGATGCCTCCATAAAGTAAAACAATAATATTATTAATTCATATGCCCCCTGGGTCGTCTCCGTTTCCAGTACTAGTTTAACTTGTCTACTAATACAGGATAATGGTGAATAGAATCGAATGAATCATGTGGCTTATATTTAGGGTTTAGGTTTT